GGGACCTCAGTGCTGTGTACACAATTTTTCCCGCCTAATTTCAATGCAAGCCAAACGGTCATAAAACCATTACTATTCTACACTTTACTCCATCTTGACATACTAATTGGATACCAGTTTAACTGTTTATACTCTGACTTCTCTTGTTTACACTTTTAACTAATGTCGTACATATTTTCAGTTCCTCTAGTCGTCAACCGTGTGACACTACAGACAGTCAATGGGTGATAATTGAAACCGGAATATCCCACATTGTATTCCATCAGCAAGCATGGTAAAGCACCAAACGATGATGAATGATGACATGGAAATAATGTTTCTAATTCAGTGAATAACCCACAATGAAGATACATTGGACAAATCACTTCTTATAGTTCTCTGCCGAAAAAACTAAACTTTATCTTTTCGTATCAACCAAAGAAACATTTCTTATTACTAAAATGTCAAAACTGCCAAATATTAATTGTATAATAGAATATTATGCTCATTTGGAGAAATAAAGACTTTATTTGTAGAAATTTGTGTTAAAAACCGACAACGATTAAGTGAGATATATTTGCGCAAGATATGTAATATTTTTATTGGCGGACTGATTTCAATATGGTATCTATTGTGATTTAAGACATCAATTTTGAGGAAAAATTTTAATATGTACGGTTAGAAAATCATTTCAGCTTTCTACACTTAACTGCACAATTTTTGTATTGTGTCTATCAGCCAAGAAATTGTTTAATGAAGACAAAAATTATGGGCGCAAATTCGTTCAATATTACCAAATGCGCGGAGGTTTCTTTTTACCATTTTAACAGATTTTATCCGATTTTTAAAATTCTTTCTGTGTGATCATGTGTAAACCTTTATAAATACATTGGTGTACTTCATTTGTCAAATGAAAACGAATAAACACACTAATCAAGCTGTCTAAGAGCGAGATGGCCGTATTTTCCCAATCTGCGCGTGAAAAGGTCCCTACTCCTTCTGCCGCGGTGTAACGATAAATTGTATTATATTTTAAAGTCACTATTGTGGCGGTACATTAGAACTAGACAGAAACAAAGTGTACGTGTGAAGGGCCTGAATGGAACCCCTCGGTTTCAGTTCCTTGTTTAGTAGTCCCAAAAATAAGAATAGTTTTGAGATATTATTCAACAGTTTCCTCAGGTAAAATTGCAAAAAACCGAATTTTGGGACAAAAATAGGCCAAAAACCAAATTTTTAAATATTTTGAGCAAATTAACTTTGTTGGCATGTCGACAATAAAATTTGCAATATAAAGATAATTGAACACAGCCGCCGCACTTAATTGACGATGTCAACCTTTCCAGATCGTTGCTCTGCAAACATCTCGTCAGATGCAAAGCAAGAATGCTATTTTGCGCGGCGCATCGAAGCGGCGAAGTCTTCCAAAGCTGCACAAGATGGTATGAAAATAAAACAAATCCCTGAACTTAAAAAAGTAAAAATCCAAAAAAGTGATCAAAATTTAGGCTTTTTGCGCGTACTTCATTTTTGGTACTTAGGTGCTATATTTTTAAATTTTTGCCATAAATATTGTAATAACTACTAATTTAAATATATTAAATATAATTCTGACAAAAAATTCATTTTCAATGGAGCCAAAATTTTAGGTGTGCCGCGCATATTTTCGACAATTACCACCGTAGTTTGAAAATCGAGCGCTAAAGCAAATCCTCTCATATTTTCACAAGAATACCTTAGTAGTTTTTTAGTGCTATTGTTGCATTTCAAAATCCCTTTTCACTCTATTTGGTTATCTTTTTGATGTATAATTTGATTACTAACTCTGTTTTTATGTATTGTCATTGATGTGGAGTACCCATTTATACTATTATTATTATTATTTGTCTCTCGAGCGCATACAAGACCTTACCTATCCACCCTATTGTGACACTCTAATATTTTGCTGTCAGAAAATGAACCATACTGGTATTGCATTGAGTTCTTCTCTACAGTCAATCATTAAGGTTTGTATTGAATTTTTGACCAGTGACCAATCAGTGAGGTCAGCATCAAGATTCAAGGTACTAGAAACTGAATATATGACGAAAAGGAAATTCTCAGATATCAGCTTTCCTTGAACCAAATATCACTGTTTTGACAAATTGTAAATTCTTATTGCTCAATGGTTCAATGGTTTTACATTTTCATTAGAATATGTTACTTGTATTTAATAATTGAAATTTTTGATCTCTCTGTTTGCAGTTTTGATAGTTTCGTTCATTGGCTGTCCCTTATCTCAGTAGAATTTTTGTATGACATAGAATGAATCTATTTATTACGAGTATTTATTCCTATTGTCTTAAAGTTTTAAGAGAACTCTCCTTAAATTATTTTAATGCAGTCACTCAGATAAGTTTATATCAATTCAGTGTCTGTTATTGATTTTAAAATTAATCTAGAAGAATTTAAAAAGACTAATAATTTAGTAGACACAGGCAACTTTTGGGAAGTGTCAAATATAGTTTTAGCAAAAATAGAGGGTGCAGTGGCGTAACGAAAGGCCCTGCTGACCCCGCTGTGCAGGGGGGCGCCGTCTTAGGGGGGCGCCAAATCGTCGTTTGAATGTGGGACAATTTCGAAAACTTAACTAAAGTACTAGCAAAACTGCGCGTTTTGCTCTCACCTAATTTGTTCAATTTTAGGGAGGGGCACCAAAAGGGGAGGGGGCACCAACAGGGGGGCGCTTTTTTCGGCAGGGGGGGGGGGCGCCAACAGGCAACGTTACGCCACTGAGAGGGTGTAAATTATATCGAAAAGAAGAAGCAACAAGTTCAATGTTTATATAAAAATCCGTGTGTTGCCAAGAGAAAGGGAATAAATATCTCATGAATTTGTTTTTATTTTATTTTTTAATTAAGGGTTTTTAACTTTTTAAACTTTTTAAATAACTTATTAATTTAATTTCTACTATATGTAAATAAATTATGACAATTATGTTAGTTATAGAATTTGTTTGTTTTGAATGACGAAGGCTGTGAAATGTTCACAGTTCTGATAATGAGGAAATCAGAAAGAATGTTTAAAACTAGTGATGATGTTTATGTCATTATTCTTAATCTAATCTAATCTAATCTAATCAGGACACTTTAACAAAGACACATACTCTGCCCACAATAAGGGGCCATAATTGTTTCAATTATGTAATTATTATTATCAAACATGTCAATCTTACAAATGTCAACAATCCTAAAATAATTTAGAACCTAAACGTGATCCTTTGTAAGATTATATGTCCCAAAAGTCAAATTGACTTGTACTCAAGTATAAAGTCGAACAATTTACTCCAATAACCACGGTTACTAGCAAGTTCTCTCAAATGAAGAATATCATCATACGACTCCAGCAAGATGAAACGCTTCCAGAGGTCAACCTTCAGGTGGTGTAGGAGGTTACGTCTGTGAGCCCCGAGTCTACCAACTTCAATTATGTAACTGTATAGAATTATTATTATTATACGAGTATTAAGGACTGCTAGTATTTTTTATTTATTCGTTTTCACTTCTGCACGTTTAGGCAGTTGCTCTTGTGGCCAGAGTTTTAGAGTTATAGGATACAAGGGTACAAGGATACCAGGATACAAAAGTGATAATTACATTTACTGAGTTCACAATAGTGGTAATCCTGAAATACACTTTGACATCATTAGCAAGTAATGGCGGCTAAAATTGATGGTCCCTCCAAGATCAAAATCAACAATATTGTTTAAATTTAGATAAGTAGTAATACTAATTTTAGCCAGTCCCACCTCTACTCTCTACAAAGCTGACTATCTTATCGTTCCTAATACTATGAAACTTAGTCCGTTTCAGTCTCAGTTCGTCTACAAGCTTTTTGTAAGCTTTTCGTTTTGCTGCAGTTCTATCAGGGCAGATGTAAACTGATCTATACCCCTCCTTTGTGCATAGTTTACTGGCGTTTCTGATCACTTGGGTTGCACGGTCAGAGCTGCTCAAGGTGAACTTGACTGGTCTGGATACATTTTCTTTCGGAGCTCCAATATGACAGCAGTCCCTGACTAAGGGCTTCTCGCCGATTTCATTCAGAACCTCCTCAACAGCTCAACGTTGCTCGTTCTCTGATCCTTATAGACCATATTAATGATTATGTTCTTGCTTCTCTCAATCTGATTTTCTACTTTTTTAACTGTAGTGTGGGTCTTCTTTGTGGCGCAACCAGCATTGATACTTTTGCTAACAACTGAAGATTAGCTTTTCATCTCTGTTTGCATGGTATTTTGCACTGATTTTAGCTGTTTGTCGCTTTTTTCTATGACCTTATTCTGAAGATCGATGATAGTACTCTGATCTGAAATCTTCTCACTTTTCAGCTTGTCAACTTCTTCTGCAAGAGGTACCGCCTTCCTTAGCCAGGGGATACTGAACTGGTCCAATATACAACAGACAGTTTCCAACCATTCGCATAGTTTCTCTTTCGTTACTGATCTCTTGTTCATCAAATTGCAAGATTGAATTTCCTTGTATATTGTCTTGTTGATTTCACTGCAAATCTCGTCTAAAACACTGTCCCTGGCTTTTGTGACTTGGTCAAAATACAACTTATGAAAGATCTGATCGTTGACCTCATGCAAACCCTTTATATGTTTGTTATACACAGGTTTGTACATTTCTGTGGGTGTACAGCGACTACACAAAGACATAGGCTAGCACTTCTTATTGCTAGTAACAAAAAGAAAAGAGAGCTCAATAATTGCAACGTAAGCTACACTGACTATTATATATATATAATATATGGTAGAATTTAGGCAAAATGTTTTAGCCATGAAAGATATAATAATGACAATTGACAGCAAAGAAAATAAGAGCGTACATTCATTGGCCATGTAATAATGCTTTTTTACGACTCAGCTGTGTAGTATGATTATATAAATATTGGGTAATTTTCTCAAGTAAGGAGGTAGCAGGAGTAACGTTTGGTAAATAGCTTTAAATATATTTCTTAAAATCTGAATTTCCAGGTGATTATGTTACATACTCTATGTCGGCGGTCTCAGACATCTGTGCTGATATGTCATAGGTTACATCATTCAGCGATAATACACAACTTGAATGTTGAAACTGAAAGCAGCTTTCATTCAATAAATCCTGCCACTGGACAATCTGTTGGAAATGTAAGTAATTGCTCGAAAGATGAAACTTTGTCTGCTATTCAATCTGCTAAAGATTGTTTTAAAGTTTATAAAAGTTCTCTCCATTCATCAAGGGCAAAGTTGCTCATAGACTGGGCTGATCTCATCATGAAGAACAACAAAGAATTGGCCAAAATTGTTACAATGGAGATGGGAAAGCCCCTCGCTGAAAGCCTTGGTGAAGTGAATTATGCCACCAGTTTCTTATATCATTTTGCAGCTCAGATAAGAAGTGGACTGACTGGAGAAGTTCTGACTCCTGGTATGGCACATTGGAGGCCTGTCAACATTAAGCAACCTGTTGGCCCAGTTGTCACAATCACTCCTTGGAACTTCCCTGTTGCCATGGTTACAAGAAAAGCCGGAGCAGCAATAGCAGCTGGCTGCTCTGTAATCAATGCTCCTTCTGAGGATACTCCCCTAGTGTCTTTATACATGGCAAAGTTGGCTGTTGAAGCAGGATTTCCACCAGGTCTCTTTAATGTTATTCCCAGTACAATTGAAAACAAACGTATCATTGGCAAAGTGCTTTGTGAACATATAGATGTAGCTGCCCTTTCGTTCACTGGTTCAACACCTGTTGGCAAACTCTTGTCAAAGCAGTGCTCTGATACTGTGAAGAGGGTTCACTTGGAACTGGGAGGAAATGCACCATTGATAGTGTTTGAATCAGCTGATATAAATAGAGCTGTAGATGGTACCATGTTGGCAAAGTTCAGAAATGCTGGGCAAGCTTGTAATGCTGCTAACAGGATTCTCGTTCACAAAAGTGTTTATGCAGAATTTGTTGAGAAACTTGCAAAAAAAGTTGCAAAACTGAAGATGGGAAATGGGCTTGATAAAGGTATTAGTGTAGGGCCACTTGTTAACAGCAAAGCTCACACAAAAGTAACATCATTGGTTGAAAGTACCCTGGCCTTGAATACAACAAATGTGGAGCTGATAACTGAAAATCAGGATGTCAACGACGGTGAACACCCGTTTTACTCACCTGCAATTTTATCGTGCAGAGAAAATAATGAGTTACCGATCTTTCACGAGGAGATATTTGGACCGGTGGCTTCATTGTTTAGTTTTGATACAGAAACCGAAGCGGTTGAGATGGCTAACAACACACGATATGGTTTACAAGCATACATTTTCACCCAGGAATTGTCTCAAGCATGGAGGGTTTCTGAGAATTTGGAGTGTGGAATGGTTGCTGTTAACGAGGGTGCTATTAGTAGCGCTAACAATCCATTTGGAGGCTGGAAGGAGAGTGGAATTGGTAGAGAAGCTGGACATTTGGGTATAGATGAATTTACTGAGGATAAGCTTATTTGCTTTGGACTTTGATCTTACTAAGTAACTAATTTTAATCTTATTCGTCACATCAAACTAATATTTATTTTATAAATAGGTATATCGCATTTTAATGGTCGTTTTGTTTAGGAATTCTTAAAGGTCTTTAGTTCACATTTTTAGTGTTTTTATTATGGTATTATGATGTAAATGGTTTTTAATGTTTTAAGTGATTTTTGTTAATGTGATTTTTTGTGGAAAAAATTATGTTTTTATGAAATAACCGTTATATACTGTATATCACTTCTTTGTTGTCGAAGCTAATATTAGCAAATTTGAAATTAATGACACGATGCAAATTCGATCGAATAATTGATTTAAAATGTATAAACCATCATTATCACATTTCAACATTTTTTCAAAATAAAAGTATTCGTGAAAACTTGATCCTCAGTCCACCATTTTACTGTAGATTGTCAAAGTCATCTGTTGGGTCAGGGCAAGGTTCACGGTCCCAGGTGACAAGTCTAAAAAGAACTTTCTCGTGATCAGCAGGAACGTAACTACTGGCTCCAAACTGGGTCGGTTTCATGCGGGGACCACCTGTAAATTATATGTGTTTCACTGTCCCTAATAATAGTAATTAAGAATCATTTAACTAATTAGCAGTATTTTGAAGTGGTATAACAGCTTACCCATAATCTGCCAGTATTGTTTAGCCGTCGTATCTGCATACAATCCATTTACAGTCGTTATGTAAGCTCCCCACTGAATGTGCATCGTGTAGTCAAAACTGCAAAGTTGAGAGTATACTTGGAGAAAATAAGTTTTGGCATAGTTTTTATATAATACTGTAACGTTTAAAATATAATATAAGAACGATTTTATAGCAATAAATTATCCACAGCACCTCAATAGATACCATGAACTTCAAATATTAGTTTGATATGCTGCAATTTTATTTAAAGAATTACTAACGAGAATGTTCCTTCGCTCTGGGCTTTGTTCATTACATCAATCAACTTTGCATCCTCCGCTAAGTTCATCACAATCACAGTGTTGTCGTAAGGTGGACCTTTCCGGCCTGCATTAAGCTTTTCAATTACCAGAAGGGTAACATCTTTAGCAGTTACAATAGTGCTGAGTGCTAGAACGATGGCTAGTGAACGAAACATGGCAAAACCAAAAAAGGGTGGCTGAAATGATTTTATTAAAACTCATGAGAGAACAGATAAAATCGGGTATCTAATCACAGGACCTGACGATAATTTTCCCAATTTCCTGTGGTATAATATCATTAGCAGCCTTATCAATCACACTTGGTGTAAACCTAATCTAAACAGTATTCTTATCTGCAGTCCATATTCCGTGTTACCATGCTAGGACGTGGTACTTATCAGTCGCTAAGATGATTTAATCTCGTCTGGTTACTTGCCATCACTCATCACTGTAGTTACACCACCACACACACGGTTAACCAGGCTGGCCAGGATGGGATGAGTTTCATTTTTCTATGTCTCACTGTATCCCAGAGCGTCTAAATTGGAAGGTCCCCACTTTGTGACGTACATATTCTCAGGCTGCATGACGTCACAACATTGTGTTCAAGTTAACAAGCTATTATTTGTAGTGAGAGTATATAAGATAGTGTTATGTAACAGATAATGTTATGTACAGGGAAAATGAATGTTCTTAAAAAGTAGATTGCTTTGCCATTATCAATTAATATTATGCTGATAAACCCTAAACAGATTCAGTAAATTCTTAGTGTTGGAAAAAGCTTACATCAAAAGCTTGCTTTAAAATTTACGTCTTACTTCAAAAAATGTAGGTTTGAATACCTATTATCACTTAGTTCAACCTAACAAGTACATCGTACATAGTACAGCAATGTGGTTAGAATATTTTCCGTAATTGAAAATACTGAATATATCATTACTTGTACTATATAGTACTAGTGTTATCCAAGAATATTTTTTGGCTTAAAGGATGATCGACTCCTCATCTATTTCATATGACAATAATTGAAAAATAAAGATATTGCAATTAATTTCAATTAGAGGATAATGTTCATAATTGAAAATTATTTATATAATCCGCTTTTAAAATTTGTACCTCACATCAGTAGGTTATGAAAGACGAGAACGCTACCAAAGCTGAGGAAGAAGAGGTAAGGGAGGAGAAGGAAGAGAAGGAAGAGAAGATGGAGGAGGAAGAGGAAGCAAATGTACCAAAACGAGCGAAACTAAACATCGTAGACAAAGGTCTGATCAACAACCTACCATCAGCTAAAAGCTACGAAATCTCCTACATGCACAGGGACGTTATAGACTTTGTCATAGCAACGCCCACCAACTTCCTAATCACCGCCTCAGTAGACGGTCATGTAAAGTTCTGGAAGAAGGAAGATGAGGGTATAGAGTTTGTAAAACATTTCCGCGCCCATCTCTCTGCAGTCGTAGGGTTATGCGGCTCGTATGATGGCCTCTACGCTGCCACCACTTCCACTGACAAAGCCCTGAAAATATTTGATGTTAAGAATTTTGATATGCTGACCATGATGACTCTAGGTTATGTCCCTGGAGTTATAAGCTTTATCTACTGCTACGACAGGAAGCAACATCTCATAGCTTGTGCTAAAGAGAGCGAGATTATCGTGTATGATTACCTTACTACAGAGGTTATTTCGACTGTAACTATACACATGTCCACAGTGAAGTGTATTGTGTATTCCAATATACACAGACTGGTATTAAGTGTGGATGATAAAGGGATTATAGAATATTGGTCCTCGGACACTTTCAAGTTTGAGCCAAAATCTGCCACTGGACAGGCTCTGTTCCAGTATAAAACTGACACAGATCTTTTTACATTCCTGCAGCACAAGTGTACTGTGCTGAACATTACCATTTCCATGGACGGCAAGTACTTTGCCACGTTTTCAACCGACCGGAAAATCAGGGTTTTCAATCTGACGACTGCAAAGTTATTCAGGGTTTATGACGAATCCTTGTCAGTGGCTACCCAAGTTCAGCAGGAGCAACATCTCATCCCCTCCATAGATTTTGGTCGGAGGCTGGCTCAGGAGCGGGATTTGGAGAAAGTTGGCCAGTTCCGGTTTTCTGGTGTGATATTTGATGATTCCTCGTCCATGATAATATATCCTACATTACTGGGGATCAAGATAACACATCTACAGATGAACAAGTGTGTTAGGATGCTCGGTGTTATGGAAAATGTCAGGTAAGCTCTAATTTGTACATTAGCGTATTTCTGGTTTGGGTCACGGTCAAAACAGGATGATTGGTTAGTTCTATTCTAGTAGTTTAGGGCGCTTTTGTCCTAATTTCTTAGTTAAAATATACTTTTCCCTTGAACAACAAATACTTTTTAAATGTTAGTTCAATTTAATTTCAGGGTCCGCATTTATCCCACTTTAAATATACATCCGGATATTGTGTTCATAGAATTTTAGTAATTCTTTGAAGCTTTGAAGCCTCTTTTATTTTTTTATAATCTAATTTGCTAATCTTGGAAATACCATGCGAATTATGGTATTTACTGGGTATATTACTCTTTTAAGCAAACCAATTGGCCGCTGTTTTAACGCCCAATATGACTTTATAAATCACGATTACAATTGTTGTTGTCGCCTTATCTGCCTGATTCATGTTTTGTGCTCCAACTTCTAACACACGTAATTCAATACCACAACACTTTACATTCTATTTCCATCACGGATATACTGATACCACTCTGTTTTCTTGATAACAACAGTTATTATCCTCCGTTCTCACAATTTCCCTCTTCTCAGGTTTCTGTCCCTGACTCTCTCACATCCCGTCACGAAGAAGCAGGGCCTAGAACTTTCTGTGGTGAACCCCAACATGAAGGTGCTCCAGCAGGATCCTACCATCTTCTGTACCGGGCACAAGAAGAGCAGATTTTACTTGTTTACTCTCCGTGAACCTGACCAGACCAACCTGGACAGTGATAGAGATATCCTGAATGAGCGACCGACACGTGAGGACATCATCGCTGCTCAAACTGACGAGAAAGCCAAACTGGCGTCCTCCACAATCCTCCACACAAACCTGGGCGATATTCACCTCAGATTATTCTCAGCGGAGTGCCCACGAACTGTTGAGAACTTTACGACGCACGCTAAAAACAATTACTACAATGGTATTATATTCCACAGGGTCATCAAACAGTTCATGGTACAATCCGGTGATCCACTAGGTGATGGTACGGGTGGGGAGTCAATTTGGGGTTCAGACTTTGAGGACGAATTTCACCGGAACCTCAAACACGATAGACCCTACACGGTGTCCATGGCCAACCGGGGCCCCAACACAAACGGTAGTCAGTTCTTTATAACCCTGATACCTACCCCTTGGTTAGACAATAAACACACTGTGTTTGGAAGAGTTGTTAAGGGTATGGACGTGATCGATAAAATGGGAGCCGCTAAAACGCACCCTAAAACTGATATGCCCTATGATCCTATGAAGATTATGAGTATTACAGTGAAATAGATTAATTGATTGTCACGTGATGAGTTGTTTTACAATGCCTGTCAGTGCTTTTTAACTGTACTTTTTAACATTTATTATTTATATTTATTATTTTGGTTCAAAATTTTAAATGAGCATCTATTTATATCGAATTACCTTCCTCATATAATAATATCTCAAAATTTGAACCCTTTTAGATTGGATGCTCTTTATCCTACTACTGGAGGTAATTTAACCTGTAAATTGTAATGACTCGAATTAATGGACTACAGCATTATGTACGTTTAGTTCATATAATTAGAATTGTTTGTTGCAATTCTATTTATTACAGAGCTTGAGCTGTAGTACATTTCATTGTCATACATTTTACATATTATGCAGCATAATAGTGTTATTCCTTTATTCGAGTATATATTATATAGTTGAATGAATATTTTTTATATATTGTGATCGGGAATGCTGTTATAATTTACATTGGTAGTGCTGAATTCGAATAATAGCATTTGAATGTTTCGGTTGATTTAGATTGTAAACTAACATATTTTATAGGATGGGGCAATGTATAGGAATGTGCTGCCCGCCTCCAGATGACGTTAGCTAATTTATTTGTTTATTGCTAATTTAGTTAATAAGTTGATTCAATAGTCCGTATTATTCATACAAATTCAAGTAGCCCATTTTCTGATCAATTTACATTATCTGATCAATTTAAGCTCATTTTCTGATCAATTCATTTTCTGATCAATTTAAGCTCATTTTCTGATCAATTTCTCGTTTTGCTCAAAAAACACGTGAAATTAAATGAAAAGTTTCAGGACTCTGGAATTGCATCAGAATCGTCTCCTTTACTGGGAAGAGCTGATGATCGCTCTAGGTAAGAGTCATAATACATATATTCTTATTCTTTTTAAAATAAAAGTTATTTCGTTTTTCTTTTCCTTTCCTTTTTAACGTCTGTGAACATTTACTGAATATTATGATGCTAGGGGGTCATATTACGTAATCACTTTTTGGACAATTTTTAAGCTCCCTCCCCCTCCGTAATCAGTTTTCCACATAGCTATTGTGTCACCACGACCACTATCCATTTTGAAATTGAATAATTTCTCATTCTGCCGACCTGCTCTCAAACTTCAAAGATGAATCATAGCTTGACTCAATAAAGACTGAGATATGATACCACTGTGATGAATCCGTGTCATGTGACAGATGATTCAGCGTGTGTGACAAATTTTGTCTCACATAATCTTTCTTTTTTGGAAGGCGCGGTAGACAATCGTGTGTTAATTAGCACTAAATTACGCGCGTTTACCCGCGCGCAAATTGTAAATTGTCACTTCCGTGTTTAGGACAATTAATTTTCAACGATGTTTGATATGAGTAAATATTTTGATTTGTAAAGTTATTTAAATTTCTGGTTGCTAAAGGTTAAATGGTATCATTCACTCAAACTGATATTACTGCTAATGATGTTCCAATTTCAGAATATTGCCAGTAGATGTTGATTTGAATTACCCCCGCGATGATTCAGAACAAAGCAAATTGGATAAAATAGTCAGAAGTACCGCTACGTAAGTGTTTTTCTTTTCTTCTGCATGAATATGTGATTTTATAATTAACTTATTGTCATTTCCTGTTTGAAATACCATTCGAAAAACCTAGGATCACTGGGGGGGGGGGGGGCAATGACCTAAAATGGCATATATGTCAATTTACTGAAAGGTTTTTTATTTTGTCTACATACATTTATGCCATTTTATGACATTTCGTGCCACTATGAAATTTATGTATATTGTATAATTGTATAAATATGTATATTTTGTTGCGCAATATCGATTATTATATCCTGCATAACATGTGTATAATCTTGTTTATTTCTCCTATTCACCTACCTATTACAGAGCGTTTGTTGATATCAACTCTGACAGAGATGTCAGCATTGGAACTACAAGAGATAAGGAATCTATCTATCAGTAAGCTAATTTTTTATCTTGTTGTTAAACTCTCACTTGATGTTTTATAAAAGTTTACTTTTCTCTTACATTAAGAAGAAACATTCCAACTTTACTGTACACAATTTAGTGTACCCATCATAAAGCAGTCCGTAGAGTCATTTCTTCAATCTCACGTACTCTCTCACCCTATCTCTCTCTCCCCCATAACAGATTTGCGATATATATTGTAATTTGGCAGTAGACCTCAAGATTAGCTATCAAATATTACTGTAAGATATATATATTAGGGGCACTCAGAATTAAAATTGCGGTGTGTTAAGACAGAGCGAGTTGACACTTTCGCACAGTTTTAACTACTAAAATGTAATGTGTGTTTTCGAATATAATAGGCGGGTTTATACTTTTGCATTTCAACTGCGATAGTTAAGTCCCGGCCGAAGGCACGGGTTTCACTAGGGGGGGGGGGGGGGGGAGGGGGGGATCATGAGTATTTTTGAGAATTTTTGAATCTGATAATTTGACCATTCAGGTATATGTCGTGTTTATTCTCAAGGTTGAGGAGAAATGTTGCTCGTTATATTTGGGGTTCACAATCTTTTAAAAACGTGCTATATCTATCTGAGCAATTACAAACTGAACATTTTTTCCCCGAAAGAGTGTAGCGTACCATCTTGTTCAAGGGTTGATGTTTGAACTAAACTTTAATGCATCAATTATGTGTGAAATTGTTGAAATGAAATAAACTATAAAGATGATTGCGTGATGTTTATTTTCATTAAATTAGTAGTACACAAGGAAAACATCTGATTAAATAAAATACGATTATAATTATAAATACAATTGTGACAATAATTCCAAACAAACCCTTGTTATGTTAAACAATAAAAGCTGAATTTTAGAAAAATAGAATTTTCATAAGTTCTTTTTTTGCATTAGCTATTTTTTTTGTATTTTCAATGCATTGTTCTGATCTAGACGTAAACAGATTTCTTCATCTCTGCAAAGTCTGTCAGCTTTTCCAGTTTTCTTGTTTTTACAACCCCACTATTGGACTTTTACTGATGCTGCGTCAGAGACATATTCTTTACCATCAAGTGTAACCACACAACTGAAGTAATAAATATAAAAGATCCACACAATTTTTATTCATCTTGACGTATATAAGGCAAAATGAAATATGAATCTGAAAAGCAAGGGCCTTGATACTTACTATTGAGATGTGTTACTGATAGTCTCGGAGGGTTCGAATTCATGCTTCCGCCAATTCTTTTGTATCTTACATTGGACTTTTCAAAAGTAATAAGACAAAATTTCTTAATTTAAAAGACAAATTAACTTACATGTAACTGCTATCCTCCACATTCTTGCTAAGTTTAAGCTTGAATGAGCCTTTTTTGCCTTTTCCTTTCTTGCACTGGCTTCTGACACCATTCTCTAACTTACATATCTTAACCATCTTTTTGTTAACTTTCTGAAAGATTTAAAATTATATCTACTTTTATTGAACTTGAAATTAGTATTTAGTAGAACCGGGAACCCCGAGTAATTATAACTGGGACCTACTTTAAGATAAATTATTGAAGGGACTTCTTTATAATAGTCAAGATATCTTACCGAGCCATCTGTAGTTTTGACTTTGAACTGAACTTTACATCCTTTTTTGCCTTTCTTGCAATTCAAGATCGACTTAGCAGGACTGACTGTCACCCTGGGAACTACAGGTATCTCAACAGCAACGTTAAAGTCAGCAGTATCTGATTTTCCGTTCTTTACAGCTTGGCAGGAATATGCTGCACTATCTGGAGCATCTGCGTTGCGTACCTTCAGTACCAACCTGAATAGAGTTTGGGCTTACTTCATCTATTTTTAAAAGGAAACGGATATAAGATATATGGAATTACTAATATGAACGTGCTACTCGGCCACAAAGTAATTCAGATAATCGTTATGAATGTACAAACTTGTCTTCTGAAATTCCTGCCGTTATTGGAGCCCCATCTTTTGACCATGTGATGTCTCTTTTCAACACTCCGTTCACATAAATTTGACATGTAAGAGCTATTGTCTGTCCCTTGTTCACTTTCACTTCGGGGTTTATTGCCTGTTGTTTGGAACGATTTAATGAACTGTTGTGTTTGACTTTCATACATATGTTTTCATAAGATTAACAGACCAACACAAGTTAGGTAGCTAACCATGTCAGAGCGGCCCAGCGCGGCTGGCTGTGAATGATGGGAACACTTTATAGAAAGTAAAGTTTTGCAACCTTTTTTCGGTCTGATTCAAAACCTACCTTGACCCAATCAGCTGCACAGTAACCACAGCAAGAATCATCCTTCTGAGCCTGTACCTCGTTAGCAGCACAACTCAGAGCGGGACACGCTAGATCTACACAGTTCATTGCACCTTCACCTGCACACGTGCAAGATTGGCATTCTGCAAGTTTCTCAATGACGTCTCCAACCTTGAAAATTATTCAAATTTAATTGATTAATTGCCGAGATTGTATATCTGTCGCAAATTTTTGAAATGAATCACACGGGAAATTTTATTGAGTAGTCATGTTGATTAAGTTTATGGCAAAAAGAAAATCTAATTTACACGAAACTTAGAAATGGTCTGTGTCCTGTACTAACATTGTAGAATTTTCCCTCATAGATACATTTGCACTGGCTCGCTTCAACACAAATACCATCTTGGAGGAACTTTCCAGAAGGACAGAAACATCCTCGAGCTGTTGACTCCTCTTCAGGGTTTCTGTCCAGACAGGATGGTGATGGAATTGAGGCAGAAGCATGATATGTTAGTCCCTCCGGACATACGTAAGCTGAAAGAAATGATTTATTATATAGATTAACATTTTCGGCATGATAGGTAAATATGTCATGCTTGAGACTTGAGTTTAACTAATTGTTAAAGAGTTGTTTAATCTGGCAGAATCTTTTTTAAACTGTCCATTTTAGCAAACTTACGACAATAATCCACACTTTCTCTCCAGTCAGAGAGATCTACTCCATTTTGGTTGCATTGTACGGCATATATATCAAATTGGGAACACGCACAGGCCTGAAATAATATATAAATTTAGAGTCATTACTTTATAATATAAAATATTAATATCTAATATAAAATATTAATATATGTAGTATTAAAGCACCAAGGTTGTTAAATACGTCAAATTTTCGTGAAAGAATACGACGTATTCGGTTCTAATAAAGAATACGTCGTAATACGCCGTAATACGTTAATTTCTATGGATTGTTAAATACGTCCACGAATACGCCATAATACGCCGTAATACGCTGATTTGTCAAAATTAAACATTACAGCTGCGCGCCACCCTCATCACCGATCATGCATTAAAGGAGTGCAGTTATACATGATAACTTAAATTTGTAATCAAATTTCATGGATAATCCGATAAGCTAACATTTTTTGCGAAATTAATGTTAGCTTATCGAAATTTTCGTAATACGTCAATTTTCGAGGATTAATACGTATTCGTATTCCAATACGTATTCCCTCCTAATACGTATTTAACAACCTTGTAAAGCACTATTAGAGATTTTCATCTAGAAGTAAAACAAATTATTTATTTTATTGAGCTAGGGTGTGGACTAGCTGGTTAAAATGTTTCCATCCCATTACATAATACTCAATAAATGCAATAGATTAGTAGTGTTGTAATAAGTTAAAACTTAAAAATGATACCATGTTTTATGATAACATTTCACTCTATCCAAGTTATCGCGAACTTGGTAATCTGACTGACCTGATCCATGTAACAATTACAGACATCTGTCAAACAGTTCATGTACACACCGCCGTCTAAATCTCCATAGCTAACAGTTGAATGGCAACTGCTGAACGGTGCCCCTAAAAACAACACGTGTGATCAATCAAATTTGAAACTCAAATTCTCATCTAATACTTTACTCGGGATTATTACGACGGGTTTATTAACGACCGGTTAAAATATGGTTCGGGAAAAATATGGCGAAATTGCTCAAAACCCACCACATTTTCCCGGTCGCCATTTTACCGGTGTCCAACCTTTCAATTTTAGATTCAAAAATTTTGTCACAGATGTAAATTTCCTTATTAGAGATAAGCCAGTTTAGAAATTTTCGCATTGCTAAAACTTGTGAAACAAGTCGAATTATCAATAATTGTTGAAAGTAGACAGAAATAATGACTCGCGGTTAATCAAACTAGATGGAAAATAATTTTCTTCGAAAGAATGCATCGTTCACATTGTTTAGAATTATGAATAAATGACTGATGAAACTGATTCATGTTAATGACAGTTTTAATTAATTCAAGTTTTAATTTAACTGTTACTTTTACTTTGAGTCCTATTTCATTATGTAGAGATAGTCAATACCTAAGAAATTAAAAATTGGCCTATTTAAATCAACTTTGACCATAAGGATATATGACAAGAATTGGGCAAAAAGGTGAATTTTTGCAATTTTAGCCAAATGAAGTCGAAAAACCTACAACAAGTGTCCCAATAGTCTTCTTTAGTGAATATACAAATTTTAAACTCGTTCCAGATTTCATCTGGACCGACCTAGGCAGACAGGTAGGCAGTGAATATAAGACAACGATTAAAATATGAGCACCCATACCCCTTGGGAACCCTAAAAGCTGAGACGGCGGGTTTATTAACGACCGGTGAAAATGTGGTTCGGGAAAAATATGGCGAAATTACCCTAAACCCGCCACTTTATCCCGGTCATAATAATCCCGAGTAAGGTATATAAATTTTCAATCTACAACAACTTTGCAATTTATGAATTATTCCTAACACTTAGACATGATAAAATATTAGTAGTAATTGATGTCTCTGGCCTTAGGTCTTTCAATACAATTTCTGATCGTTTCTTATCACTTTATCAGACTGGCCGATGATGGTGTTATAATAAAGTAAAGTTGATGTTTCGTTACGAGTAACTATAATGAGATAATCATGCCCCCAAATCATAAAATGAGAGTGTAAATCACCTTTTAGAGCATCACAGACGAGTGCAGCAGATTCGTGACCTTGAGGAATGTCGTCACATGGGTGGTACGGGGCTGGTGGGGCAGGACAGTTCTCATCGTATTGCTGTGATTAATATTTGAACTGTTATTTGTACTGAAGTTATCCATGTAAGATCGATCCAGTGCTCTATTGATGTTTCCATTTAATTCAGCTTGTTTGCTTTCCAATTTAACAAATGAAACATTTCCAAAGTTACCGTGCCAGATATTATTGATTTAGTTGCCTGCTCACCTGGTGAATAACTCCAAGAGAGTTTGGTGAGCCCCCGGTCAGGTCATCAGCAGCATTTCCGTTCCAGTTTCCACACAATCCCTCAGTTTCGCCAGAGCAAGAACCGTGTAACGAAATCTCTGCGTTGATGTACCTGTATCATTTTATTTTATCTTACTGCTTGATAATGTTTGGAAACTGCCAAAATATTTTGGGATAAACATAGTCCAATTATCAATTGAAGATCGCTCTTATAAAATTATCCTCAAAATCATCTTTTTCTGTGTTTTTGATAAATTCCAGAAAAAGATCCACCATGGTCTCTTTCAATCCAAATATCTGTAAAGAAATATGCAAATTGTAGAATTCCCTACCGCCCAGCATTGTTAGCTCTTATTCTGGTAGCAGGAATCCTTCCCTTGCTGTTTTGGTAAAATACGATCTCTAACTCTCCGCTGAAAAGAAACAAGTTTTAGTTCCAAATGAGTAAATGTAATTAACAGAGGTTTAATTAATATTGTTATGGCACGTCAAGTTGCGATATAATGTGAACTCCCAACTCATACTCCCATCTTGAAATACTATTCACTTTTTAAGCCCCTTACTTGTTTTGAATCTGAACTGAATCTCCCGAAGTGTATTTCTTTACATAGGGCACTTGAACCTGACAGAAGATAGTTTTAAGAATAATGCTTCGGCAGTTGGCACTTTATTAGGCTCAACAAGTCGAATAGCACCGAATTTTTTAAATATTCCGCCGTTTATATTTTTCATCAATCACTATTTGAAATATTGTCAAAATTTGAAGTTCTTGAAGAAACTTACCCTTTCTCCGTCAACAGTTGCTACGTATCCGTTCTCAATAGCGAACACTTTCCCTTTGTATTCCAGTTCCGCTCGTTTGGTGAATCTCGGGGCTCGTCCCAGTAAATCTACATTTTTGAAGTTAACCTGAAATAAAGAGGTTTTAAATTTAAACTATTGTTGTACATTCAATTATACGAGTAGTTGCCTTGGTAGCCTTTAATTTGAATTGTGATGTGGCTAAGAGTTAATAAACCGATAAAAACGATATGGTGTTCTAAATAAATGTGACGTGTTTGAAGAACATATTGTACCAATACTTCCAATAGTGGACTGTGAATACCTGGAAATCATCACAACTGGCTGCCTGGTATGTACATGTTCCATGGAAATCGTAGTACTTGCCATCAAACGAGTGGTAATGAGGATCACCAGAACTAGAACAATGTGCCGCATCTGAAACAACATTGAGACTTCAGAGACTTCAGTTAATTCTACTTTAGTCGTAATCCTTTTGAAGATGTCCGTTCGGATATGAAACATGAAATATACGTTCAAAATGTCTCTGATTCTGAATCCCTTACCTTTGATGCATTTAGCTGTGCAGGTGAGTTGATCAGTCCATTTGCTACTTCCAGCAGGGCAGGACATGGACGCGTCATCACAAAGACACACAAATCCCTCTGAGCCACATACACACTTCTTTCCGGAGTCGTTGATGTACGATTCGTTCGGCTGATCGTGATTATATTTGACAAATTATTTTTGATTAATTACTTTTTACTTTTCAAGACAGTTAAAACAACCTTTCAATAACCCTTAGTTTTGATTTTTCATACTGTACCTAATATAATTCTATCATTATATCTAAATTCAAATGATAATGTTGAAAATACTTGCCCCCAGTGTTTGTCCCGTTTCCTCAGATGTACATTCGAACTCCGCTGTAAAGATAATACATCAGTAATCAGTATATTTAACTGTATATCTAATACCAACTAATTACAAAAGACGAAAGTGTTATGTACTTGAATTTATAAAATAAAATCATTCAAATGGAATGAATTAAAGTTTTAAATAAACTCACGTTCACATGAAACCTGATACACATCCTGTGCCCAGCCACCTCCTCTACCATTTGCACAGTTATTCGCCCCTCCGTATCTGTTGTATGTTTGACCAGCATTGGCTGCGGTGAAACACTCAAAGTTGGCTTGGACTGAAAATATGGTCCAGCCTCTTGCTCCAGCATAGTTTGCGCAGTCAACAATGGGGTTGTTTGACCTAAACCTGATTCCACCTTCTATCGCTCTGTTCCAGGTGTCCTTGAAGCAGCCAATTCTCACCGTGGTGCAATCCCCTGAAATGAGTAGTCGTAGAATCTGCTTTATGTCTCACAAAGCAGTGATCATGATGGTAATATAAAATGTTCCGCTTGTTGTATACTGTACAGTCATTTGTAGGCATGTCTTATTTGTCTAGTATTTTAGCGTAGTATTTTAGGGCATATATTAGACATTAGTGTACGACATTTAGTACAGCAGGGTAGTGCAGAGAGTTCAGTTTAACACCTCTGTTTTGGTTACAAGGAGGATAGTTTAGGAATTGTTTAGAGCAGAGAGTTCATTTTAAAACCTCTGTTTTGGGGAGCAGAGAGTTCATTTTAAAACCTCTGTTTTGGGGAGCAGAGAGTTCATCTTAAAACCTCTGTTTTGGGGAGCAGAGAGTTAATTTTAACATCTCTGTTTTGATTATCAGAGGGTTCATTTTAACACCTCTGTTTTGGTTACAAAGTTACAAGGAGGATAGTTTGGGAATTGTTTAGAGATTGCTAGAGAATAGAGAATGCTAGAGTGGGAGATTGTTTATACTATTTAGGGATACTTAAGAGTGGGCTTTTTGGATGGCAGGTTACCCTTTTTGGTTTAAGTACAGCAGGAGAACTAGGAAATCTGAATTTATTGGAGATTATATTGAGGAACATTGAGACATTGTTATTGCAATTCTTAATCACGTATACAAATTAAAGTACTTTCACTTATCACCTTCCTGAACCAAATTGTAAGGAAAATACTGTTTTATCACGCTCTTACCTGGACCACCGAACACAGTTGTTATTAAGAGCAGTGCTATCAGCAATATTACTCTAATCATTGCCATTCTGTAGGGTCATGTGTCTTTATACAAGTTAATATTCCTAGATATTAAAGATGGCGTAATTTTAATTAACTGACTTAGATTACTCTCCGGAAAAATAGTTGATAGTGCTAATAGTAAAAATAAAATCTATTGTTGTATAACAAGAATGTCGGCCCAAATTCTTTAAATCTGATTCTTACATTGGTCAATTTAACCCTTGACATAGACCTGATATATGTCGACTGGAAACTACAGGATGTAACAATCTCATATTTGACAGTTCTACCACCCTATTTTCAAGACCCCCCACGAATTAATGTGAGTTGTGACGTGACATTCCATTGGATCAATCCTGAGACTGATCGCAATTGAAAGGTTGTGACTGATGGAAAAATAACATCGGCGTATATAATATAATTGCTAGGCCCTGATCATTAGAAACACCCCTAAAAGTTTGTTTTTTGACAAAAAATTAAAACCCACCGTAATTTCATTTCTGTTTTAGCTACGCATTTGATTTTTGGTATGCGTATAGAAAATCAATACGGCTTTAAAATGAACAAAACCTTAATAGTTACTCAAGTTAGCCTTATTTTACCCTCCATCAAAAGACATAATTATAAAGGGTACGTGGCAAGGACAAAAAAGAAATCGCGGCACGTGCGGAATCGTGATTTTTGACGGTTGCCTCGACAAATTGCGATTTTTTGACGTTTGCCGCGACAAATCGCGATTTTCTTAGATGCTCGCGACAAATCACGATTATTTCAGTTCTCCGCGACAAATTGCGCATTTTCCTTTAGATCTGAGGACCAAATTTGCGCATTCTCCTTTAAATCTTCAGGCCAAATATCACGTTCTTTATAAGTATATGGAACCAATCACATTGAAAAACGTTGACAACATTTCGACTTACAAAACTTCGGTCCGAGTAATTCTCGATACGTACCTATGATGACAGAGTCCAAAATCATATATCGAGAGGTAGGTACTACTAATAGGTACGGACTAAGGACTTCAGTAAAGTAAACCGAAAAAAATATGTTAGACTCATCAGGGTAGCATAAACTGTGGAAAACAATTGGTTTCCAGGGATCCACTTTCACAAGCATTTCTTAACCAACTCGTCTGCTGACGTAACATTGTTAGCAAAAAACGTCCCTAAAACTTGACACTAGACATAAACTTGACCACTAGACATAAACTTGACCACTAGTCGACAGTAGACACCCCAATCAATGTATAAAAAACTGCAAACATTCACATGACGACGACGTACCCCACTTATTAAGGAATTGTGCGAGAAGATGAACAAGGTAAAGATGGGGAAATAAAATATTTAATGTGTTAGGCATAAATAAGGTTAGTTTATAGGAGGTTATTTATTGAGTGACATTGAATCATGATATTGTTAAAACTATCTATACTAATAATCCCAGAATGTCTGTGTGGTCTCGGCCGAAGGCACGGGTTATACTAGTCAATATATATTATAACTTTATAACAAACGTTAGCGAACTCAGTACGGACAACATCTCATGAGGTCGAGGGTAAAGGCAATATTTCTACGAACATACTCAGGAGTATCTGCTTTATATACTCAGACGATGAGCCCTCGGTCCCCAAAAAGGATAATCTATAGTAGTGGAACATCGAGTTCCGTGCGGGCGAGCTGGGAGGAACTTTCGAAATCTTCTGGAAGGGCTGATTTAAAAGCAAGCACTGCTCAGTATTTATAGCTAATCTAACTTTTTGACGTTCACCGGAAATAAAGGAGGTTTTAAATTTAAACTATTGTTGTACATTCAATTTGAAGGAACAATAATATGAATATATGTAGTTGCCTTGATGGCCTTTAATTTGAATTTTGATGTGGCTAAGAGTTAATAAACCGATAAAAACGATATGGTGTTCTAAATAAATGGGACGTGTTTGAACAACATATTGTACCAACACTTCCAATAGTATACTGTAATTACCTGGAAATCATCACAACTGGCTGCCTGGTATGTACATGTTCCATGGAAATCGTAGTACTTTCCGTCAAACGAGTGGTAATGAGGATCACCAGAACTAGAACAATGTGCCGCATCTGAAACAACATTGAGACTTCAGAGACTTCAGTTCATTCTACTTTAGTCGTAATCCTTTTGAAGATGTCCGTTCGGATATGAAACATGAAATATACGTTCAAAATGTCTCTGATTCTGAATCCCTTACCTTTGATGCATTTAGCTGTACAGGTGAGTTGATCAGTCCATTTGCTACTTCCAGCAGGGCAGGACATGGACGCGTCATCACAAAGACACACAAATCCCTCTGAGCCACATACACACTTCTTTCCGGAGTCGTTGATGTACGATTCGTTCGGCTGATCGTGATTATATTTGACAAATTATTTTTGATTAATTAATTTTTACTTTTCAAGACAGTTAAAATAACCTTTTAATAACCCTTAGTTTTTATTTTTCATACTGTACCTAATATAATTCTATCATTATATCTAAATTCAAATGATAATGTTGAAAATACTTGCCCCCAGTGTTTGTCCCGTTTCCTCAGATGTACATTCGAACTCCGCTGTAAAGATAATACATCAGTAATCAGTATATTTAACTGTATATACAGGGTGGGCCAAAAGTCAGTACCCATACGTTGGCCTTTATAGCTCAGTCACTGAGTGCCCAATTTGAATACTTCTTTCTGGTATGGCTTAGTACCACCACTGGTTCGAGGAATTTGTCAACTTGAAAAATATTCACGTTCATTTTTTTCAAATGGAGGTTCATTTTCACATTTATTTGATAGTTTGGATAGTCGGATCAAGCTAAATGTTATTGAATTGTGTTTGGCCATTCGAATTACGTTTGTCCTGAAAGAATTAGAACTGTAGCTTCTCAGATGACCGAGATATGAAGCATAACGAGTTTATTCATTACGTGTGATCAGGTGATTGGTTTACCTAATCACGTGATAAGGTGCCCCCGTTAACTACCCCGTTAAACATAATGGGAATCGTGAAGGCTGCCCAATTAAGGTGTCGTGTCACAATGTCACATAATCACCCAGTCAATATTGTTAACGAGATACAGAAAATGATTGATAACTTCGTCATTTCTAATCCGATTTGCCTCATGTTTTCAGATCATATGCAACATTTGATAATCTACCGTCTCTGAAAAAATTAGGCGTTCAGCATGTTCAGAGAAAAAAATATAGGTGTTTTAATATTGAATGGGCGTGGTCTAAAATATTCGAATTTTCAAATTTTGACGACGGAATCCTCGAACCAGTAAGTACAGTATGCCATCTGCAAAGCAACAGCTCTCAAATATAAAACACGGCGGAGCTATTAAGGCCAACGTATGGGTACTGACTTTTGGCCCACCCTGTATAATACCAACTAATTACATAAGACGAAAGTGTTATGTACTTGAATTTATAAAATAAAATTATCCAAATGGAATGAATTAAAGTTTTAAATAAACTCACGTTCACATGAAACCTCGTACACATCCTGTGCATAGCCGCCTCCTCTACCATTTACACAGTTATTCGCCCCTCCGTATCTGTTGTATGTTTGACCAGCATTGGCTGCGGTGAAACACTCAGAGTTGGCTTGGACTGAAAATATGGTCCAGCCTCTTGCGCCAGCATAGTTTGCGCAGTCAACAATGGGGTTGTTTGAATTAAACCTGATTCCACCTTCTATCGCTCTGTTCCAATTGTCCTTGAAGCAGCCAATTCTCACCGTGGTGCAATCCCCTGAAATGAGTAGTCGTAGAATCTGCTTTATGTCTCATAAAGCAGTGATCATGATGGTAATATAAAATGTTCCGCTTGTTGTATACTGTACAGTCATTTGTAGGCATGTCTTATTTGTCTAGTATTTTAGCGTAGTATTTTAGGGCATATATTAGACATTAGTGTACGACATTTAGTACAGCAGGGTAGTGCAGAGAGTTCAGTTTAACACCTCTGTTTTGGTGACAAGGAGGATAGTTTAGGAATTGTTTAGAGCAGAGAGTTCATTTTAAAACCTCTGTTTTGGGGAGCAGAGAGTTCATTTTAAAACCTCTGTTTTGGGGAGCAGAGAGTTCATTTTAAAACCTCTGTTTTGGGGAGCAGAGAGTTAACTTTAACATCTCTGTTTTGATTATCAGAGGGTTCATTTTAACACCTCTGTTTTGGTTACAAAGTTACAAGGAGGATAGTTTGGGAATTGTTTAGAGATTGCTAGAGAATAGAGAATGCTAGAGTGGGAGATTGTTTATACTATTTAGGGATACTTAAGAGTGGGCTTGTTGGATGGCAGGTTACCCTTTTTGGTTTAAGTACAGCAGGAGAACTAGGAAATCTGAATTTATTGGAGATTGTATTGAGGAACATTGAGACATTGTTATTGCAATTCTTAATCACGTATACAAATTAAAGTACTTTCACTTATCACCTTTCTGAACCAAATTGTAAGGAAAATACTGTTTTATCACGCTCTTACCTGGACCACCGAACACAGTTGTTATTGAGAGCAGTGCTATCAGCAATATTACTCTAATCATTGCCATTCTGTAGGGTCATGTGTCTTTATACAAGTTAATATTCCTAGATATTAAAGATGGCGTTGTAATTTTAATTAACTGACTTAGATTACTCTCCGGAAAAATAGTTGATAGTGCTAATAGTAAAAATGAAATCTATTGTTGTATAACAAGAATGTCGGCCCAAATTCTTTAAATCTGATTCTTACATTGGTCAATTTAACCCTTGACATAGACCTGATCTGTCGACTGGAAACTACAGGATGAAACAATCTCATATTTGACAGTTCTACCACCCTATTTTCAAGACCCCCCACGAATTAATGTGAGTTGTGACGTGACATTCCATTGGATCAATCCTGAGACTGATCGCAATTAAAGGTTGTGACTGATGGAAAAATAACATCGGCGTATATAATATAATTGCTAGGCCCTGATCATTAGAAACACCCCTAAAAGTTTGTTTTTTGACAAAAAATTAAAACCCACCGTAATTTCATTTCTGTTTTAGCTACGCATTTGATTTTTGGTATGCGTATAGAAAATCGATACGGCTTTAAAATGAACAAAACCTTAATAGTTAGCTTTATTTTGCCCTTCATCAAAAGACATAATTATAAAGGGTACGTGGCAAGGACAAAAAGAAATCGCGGCACGTGCGGAATCGTGATTTTTGACGGTTGCCTCGACAAATTGCGATTTTTTGACGTTTGTGGCGACAAATCGCGATTTCCTTAGATGCTCGCGACAAATAACGAATATTACAGTTCTCCGCGACAAATTGCGCATTTTCCTTTAGATCTGAGGACCAAATTTGCGCATTCTCTTTTAAGGGGGGGGGGGGGGGGGGGGGGGTTCACCCTGATTTTTTTGTGAAACTTGTTTTCGAGATAGCAGTTGACCAACAAACTAGGACCGGTGACAGAACTTTTGAGGGGGTCCCGGACCCCAACCGCCAAAAGGTGCCCGCGGGGCAGCCACGCCCAAATTTGGTCCAAATTAGGCCCAATTTAGCCAAATACCCTGAACATTCCCAAAACCCAGATTTTAGGTGCTCTACTTGTAGCTAGTCCCCTGAACTCGTATATGAATTTTCATCAAGATTTATGAGCCAAAAACCATATGCCCATATTTGGGCATACACACCAAATTTGATCGATTTTGGTCCATAAATTGGTCAAAAATCAATATTTTTAAATGAAACCAACTTTATATGAAAGGTAAGCCTATATTACACATTCTCTATGAATATCAGCTCAATATCTACATAACTGTGGATTCTGTGTTCAAATAATCGCAAAAAATGAACAAAATTGCCCATATCTCAGTTCGCGATATTTGCAAAACTGACTTCGCTCAAAACAATAGAACTCTATAGGGTTTCAATATTTTTACATGAAATTTTCAGAATCAACGTAGAATCGCATTTCGACCTTAAGTTCTGGGACAGAATTTTAAGTTAGGCCTTTAAAAAAAAAGGCCTAACTTAAAAGTTTTTGGCTCATAACTCAGCCATTTTTTGTCCAATTTTGATGAAAATTCATATACGAGTTCAGGGGACCACTAACTACAAGTAGAGTACCTAAAATCTGGGTTTTGGGAATGTTCAGGGTATTTGGCTAGATTGGGCCTAATTTGGACCAAATATGGGCGTGGCTGCCCCGCAGGGCACCTTTTGGCGGTTGGGGTCCGGGACCCCCTCAAAAGGTCGGTCACCGGTCTTAGTTTGTTGGTCAACTGCTATCTCGAAAACAAGTTTCACAAAAAAATCAGGGTGAACCCCCCCCCCCCCCCCCCCCCCCCCCCCCCTTAAATCGTCAGGCCAAATATCACGTTCTTTATAAGTATATGGAACCAATCACATTGAAAAACGTTGACAACATTTCGACTTACAAAACTTCGGTCCGAGTAATTCTCGATACGTACCTATGATGACAGAGTCCAAAATCATATATCGAGAGGTAGGTACTACTAATAGGTACGGACTAAGGACTTCAGTAAAGTAAACCGAAAAAAATATGTTAGACTCATCAGGGTAGCATAAACTGTGGAAAACAATTGGTTTACAGGGATCCACTTTCACAAGCATTTCTTAACCAACTCGTCTGCTGACGTAACATTGTTAGCAAAAAACGTCCCTAAAACTTGACACTAGACATAAAGGTAACCACTAGACATAAACTTGACCACTAGTCGACAGTAACACCCCAATCAATGTATGGAAAACTGGCATAAATAGGCATAAATAAGGTTAGTTTATAGGAGTTGTTAAGTGACATTGAATCATGATATTGTTAAAACTATCTATACTAATAATCCCAGAATGTCTGTGTGGTCTCGGCCGAAGGCACGGGTTATACTAGTCAACATATATCATAACTTTATAACAAACGTTAGTGAACTCAGTACGGACAACAGCTCATGAGGCCGGGCCGAGGGTAAAGGAAATATTTCTACGAACATACTCAGGAGTGTCTGCTTTATACTCGGTCCTCGGACGATGAGCCATCGGTCCCCACAAAAGATAATCTTTAGTAGTGAAACATCGAGTTCCGTTCTGGCGACCTGGGAGGAACTTTCGAAATCGTCTGGAAGGGCTGATCTAAATGCAAGCACTGCTCAGTATTTATAGCTAATCTAACTAGACTAACGATCCGCGATTTTCGAAATTTTCGCCGCAATTTCGCTTAGTTTGGCATGTCGCGGTGCAGCGATTTTTGGCGTATATAATCGCGACTTTCTTTTTGTCCTTTTAAGATAGGCATATGATATTTCACATGTCTATAATTCGACTAATTGAGTTTTTATTAATACAATTTTTGAAGCATTTACTCGATACGAGGGAAAATTTAGGCTTACGAGTCATTTTACATTTTGTTTTCTAATGACAGCTTCCAAGCATGAAATAAAAGTTTAAACGTGTTTAATCGATTCATCAGATCGATTTCTTTCAGAATCTGAAGAGAAGAGGAAACTTTTTTCGCTAAGGGGTTGTTCACATATTGCGTAATTATTTTTAGCATTTAACCTCTGTAATCAGTTTTACACCTAGATATTGAATCCAAATTACACTAGCGTGATCATTCGGAACCCCCCCCCCCCCCCCCTCAGCTGATTACGTAATATGTGAACGACCCCTAATTGAGGGAACAACCCCTAAATGAGGCTAACAAGTCATTTCTAATTTTTGAATTATATTTGAATAACGATCCTTATTAAAGTATCCTCTGGCATAAAATACACGAGATGGATGCTTTAGGTCGAAAGCCGGCCCAGCTGACCCCTTTTTTCCTTTTAATGGAGGGCAAAGTGAGGCAAACAAGTAACATATCATTTCTAATTTTAATGCATCGATTATGTGTGAAATTATTGAAATGAAATAAACTATAAAGATTATTGCTTGATGTTTTTTTCTTCATTAAATTAGTAGTAAACAAGGAAGACATCTGATTAGATAAAATATAATTATAATTATAAATATAATTGTGACAATAATTCCAAACGAACCCTTATGTTAAACAATAAAGCTAAATTTTAGAAAAATAGAATTTTCATAAGTTATTTTTTGCATAAATACGATAAATAGGTAGCTAATTTTTTTGTATTTTTAATGCATTGTTCTGATCTAAACGTAAACAGATTTCTTTATCTCTGCAAAGGCTGTCAGGTTTTTCAGTTTTCTTTTTAAAGTTTTTGTATGGTATTAGTTAGTCGCACTATTACCATCACCGTCCAAGACGTCTTCTTTTTATCTACCACAACCCCACTATTGGACTTTTACTGATGCTGCGTCAGAGACATATTCTTTACCATCAAGTGTAACCACACAACTGAAGTAACACACTTTAAATATAAATATAAAAGATCCACATAATTTTTAATCATCTTGACGTATATAAGTCAAAATGAAATATGAATATGAAAAGCAAGGGCCTTGGTATTTACTAATGAGGTGTGTTACTGATTGTCTCGGAGGGTTCGAATTCATGTTTCCGCCATTTTTTATTCGTATCTTACATTGGACTTTTCAAAAGTAATAAGACAAATTTCTTAATTTAAAGGACAAATTAACTTACATGTAACTGCTATCCTCCACATTCTTGCTGAGTTTAAGCTTGAATGAGCCTTTTTTGCCTTTTCCTTTCTTGCACTGGCTTCGGACACCATTCTCTAACTTACATATCTGAACCATCTTTTTGGTAACTTCCTGAAAGATTTAAAATTATATCTACTTTTAATGAACATGAAATTAGTATTTTGTAGAACCGGGAACCCCGAGTAATAACAACTGGGACCTACTTGAAGATAAATTATTAAAGGGACTTCTTTATAATAGTCAAGAGATCTTACCGAGCCATCTGTAGTTTTGACTTTGAACTGAACTTTACACCCTCTTTTGCCTTTCTTGCAATTCAAGATCGACTTAGCAGGACTGACTGTCACCCTGGGAACTACAGGTATCTCAACAGCAACGTTAAAGTCGGCAGTATCTGATTTTCCGTTCTTCACAGCTTGGCAGGAATATGCTCCACTATCTGGAGCATCTGCGTTGCGTACCTTCAGTACCAACCTGAATAGATTTTGGGCTTAATTCATCTATTTTAAAAAGGGAACAAATATTAAAGATATATGGAATTAATAATATGAACGTACTACTTGGCCACGAAGTAATTCAGATAATCGTTATGAATGTACAAACTTGTCTTCTGAAATTCCTGCCGTTATTGGAGACCCATCTTTTGACCATGTGATGTCTCTTTTCAACACTCCGTTCACATCAATTTCACATGTAAGAGCTATTGTCTGTCCTTTGTTCACTTTCACATCCGGGTTTATTGCCTGTTGTTTGGGGCGATTTAATGAACAATTTCATGAAATGTCATCAAAATTATTTTGATTTTCATACATATGTTTTCATAAGATTAACACACCAACACAAGAAGTGTAGCTAACCTTGTCAGAACGGCTGGCTGTGAATGATGGGAACACTTTATAGAAAGTAAAGTTTTGCACCCTTTTTTCGGCCTGATTTAAAACTAACCTTGACCCAATCAGCTGCACAGTAACCACAGCAAGAATCATCCTTCTGAGCCTGTACCTCGTTAGCAGCACAACTCAGAGCGGGACACGCTAGATCTACACAGTTCATTGCACCTTCACCTGCACACGTGCAAGATTGGCATTCTGCAGGTTCCTCAACGACGTCTCCAACCTTGATAATTATTCAAATTTTATGGCCGAGATTGTATATCTGTCGCAAATTTTTGAAATGAATCACACCGGAAATTTCATTGAGTCGTCACATGTTGATTAAGTTTATGGCAAAAAGAAAATCTAATTTACACGACACTTAGTAATACTCTGTATCCTGTACTAACATTGTAGAATTTTCCCTCATAGATACATTTGCACTGGCTCGCTTCAACACAAACACCATCTTGGAGGAACTGTCCAGAAGGACAGAAACATCCTCGAGCTGTTGACTCCTCTTCAGGGTTTCTGTCCAGACAGGATGGTGATGGAATTGAGGCAGAAGCATGATATGTTAGTCCCTCCGGACATACGTAAGCTGAAAGAAATGATCCATTATATAGAATAACATTTTCGGCATGATAGGTAAATATGTCATGCTTGAGTTTGTTTATTTGTTAAAACATTGTTTTATCCGGCAGAATCTTTTTTAAACTGTCAATTTTAGTAAACTTACGACAATAATCCACACTTTCTCTCCAGTTAGAGAGATCTACTCCATTTTGGTTGCATTGTACGGCATATATATCAAATTGGGAACACGCACAGGTCTGAAAATATATACATTTAGATTCATTACTTGCTAATATAAAATATTAATATCTAATATAAAATATTGATATAGTATTAAGGCACTATTAGAGATTTTCATCTGGAAGTAAAACAAATTATTTATTTTATGGAGCTTGGGTGTATACTAGCTGTTTAAAACGTTTCCATCCCATTACATAATACTCAATAAATGCAATAGATTAGTAGTGTTGTACTAATAAGTTAAAAATAATACCATGCTTCATAATAACATTTCACTCTATCCAAGTCATCGCGAAATTGGCGATCTGACTGACCTGATCCATGTAACAATTACAGACATCTGTCAAACAGTTCCTGTACACACCACCGTCTAAATCTCCATAGCTAACAGTTGAATGGCAACTGCTGAACGGTGCCCCTAAAAACAGCACGTGTGATCAATTTGAAACTCAAATCCTCATCTAAAATATTAATTTTTAATCTACAACAACTTTGCAAGTTTATAAATTATTCCTAACACCTAGACATAATAAAATAGTAGTAGTAATTGATGATTATTGATGTCCTTGGCCTTAGTTTTTCAAGGTAAACTTTCAATACAATTTCTGATCGTTTCTTATTAGACTGAGATAATCATGCCCCCAAATCATAAAATGAGAGTGTAAATCACCTTTCAGAGCATCACAGACGAGTGCAGCAGATTCGTGACCTTGAGGAATGTCGTCACATGGGTGGTACGGGGCTGGTGGGGCAGGACAGTTCTCATCGTATTGCTGTGATTAATATTTGAACTTTTATTTGTACTGAAGTTATCCATGTAAGATCGATCCAGTGCTCTATCAGTGCATTATATATTGATGTCTCCATTTATTTCAGCTTGTTTGCTTTCCAATTTAACGAATAAAACATTTCCAAAGTTACCGTGCCAAATATTAGTGATTTAGTTGCCTGCTCACCTGGTGAATAACTCCAAGAGAGTTTGGTGAGCCCCCGGTCAGGTCATCAGCAGCATTTCCGTTCCAGTTTCCACACAATCCCTCAGTTTCGCCAGAGCAAGAACCGTGTAACGAAATCTCTGCGTTGATGTACCTGTATCATTTTCCTTTACCTTACTGCTTGATATTGTTTGGAAGCTGCCAACATATTTTGGGATAAACATAGTCCCATTTTCAATTGAAGATCACTCTTATAAAATTATCCTCAAAATCATCCTATCTGTGTTTTTGATAAATTCCAGAAAAAGACCCACCATGGTCTCTTTCAATCCAAATATCTGTAAAGAAATATGCAAATTGTAGAATTCCTTACCGCCCAGCATTGTTAGCTCTTATTCTGGTAGCAGGAATCCTTCCCTTGCTGTTTTGGTAAAATACAATCTCCAACTCTCCGCTGAAAAGAAACAAGTTTTAGTTCCAAATGAGTAAATGTAATTAACAGAGGTTTAATTAATATTGTTATGGCACGTCAAGATGTGATATAATGTGAACTCCCAACTCATACTCCCATCTTGAAATACTATTCACTTTTTAAGCCCCTTACTTGTTTTGAATCTGAACTGAATCTCCCGAAGTGTATTTCTTTACATAGGGCACTTGCACCTGACAGAAAAGAGTTTTAAGAATAATGCCTCGGCAGTTGGCACTTTATTAGGCTCAACAGGTCGAATAGCACAGATAAGAATTTGTTAAATATTTCGCCGTTTATATTTTTCATTAACCACTATTTGAAATATTCCCTTAATTTGAAGTTCTCGAAGAAACTTACCCTTTCTCCGTCAACAGTTGCTACGTATCCGTTCTCAATAGCGAACACTTTCCCTTTGTATTCCAGTTCCGCTCGTTTGGTGAATCTCGGGGCACGTCCATATAAATCTACATTTTTGAAGTTAACCTGAAATAAAGAAGATTTTAAATTTAAACTATTGCTGTACATTCAATTTGAAGGAACAATAAAATGAATATATGTAGTTGCCTTGATAGCCTTTAATTTGAATTTGATGTGGCTAAGAGTTAATAAATCGATAAAAACGATATGGTGTTCTAAATAAATGTGACGTGTTTGAACAACATACTGTACCAACACTTCCAATAGTAGACTGTAAATACCTGGAAATCATCACAACTGGCTGCCTGGTATGTACATGTTCCATGGAAATCGTAGTACTTGCCATCAAACGAGTGGTAATGAGGATCACCAGAACTAGAACAATGTGCCGCATCTGAAACAACATTGTTCCGAGACTTCAGTTAATTCTACTTAAGTCTTAATCCTATTAAAGGTGTCCGTTCAGATATCAAATTTATTTGAATTAATCAGTTTTAAAACATGAAATATACGTTAAAAATGTCTCTGAATCCCTTACCTTTGATGCATTTAGCTGTGCAGGTGAGTTGATCAGTCCATTTGCTACTTCCAGCAGGGCAGGACATGGACGCGTCATCACAAAGACACACAAATCCCTCTGAGCCACATACACACCTCTTTCCGTAGTCGTTGATGTACGATTCGTTCGGCTGATTGTGATTATATTTGACAAATTATTCTTGATTAATTACTTTTAACTTTTCAAGACAGTTAAAATAACCCTTTAATCCTGGAAAAAGAGCTGCTCACATTGGGACTCGCGCTAAGTTTCTCGATGTAATCCGACTTATATGACCCTAAATAACATAATTGACTCGGGTACACTTTTACACCAGTGGGGCATTTCTCGGAATCACGCCCTTTTTGACCGCACTCATATCGCGACTCTCACTATAAATTATCTCGGCTTCTGATTGAGATACAGACCTCAGCGTTTAACCCAAATGTGCCTAAGATGCGTGTTTATCTTAGTGCTATGAAGATACTTAAGGCCTAAGAGAATTAAATTTGAGAAATCGCTAAAAATCCGATCTTACTATACTAGCAGTCTTGCTAGTAACAATTATCGCACTTATTTCAAGATATCTCAGCTTCTGATTGCAGCTAAGCGCTCATCTTGGGCATTAAAATGGTCAGAATCATCACATTGAGTGGGGTAGAGCATGGTTTTAAAGTCTTGATACTTCAGGTTGTTGAGTTATTAGGTCAGATCCCATTTTAAAATCAAACGATAATGTTGAAAATACTTACCCCCAGTGTTTGTCCCGTTTCCTCAGATGTACATTCAAACTCAGCTGTAAAGATAATACATCAATATATTTAACTGAATAATGAGTGCTCAACCTTTAATACCAACTAATTGCAAAAGACAAAAGTGTTATAATGTACTTGAATTTATAAAATAAAATCATTCCAATATCACAAGATGGGCATAGATATGTCTCGAGCATCAAGATACAATCAAACGCCAGACAATACTTGACCGGGACTTGACCTTCTTGTCAAAGCTGGATGCACAGACGACGACCTCAGGCTAGTAAGACTCCTCTTAGCCAACACCATGCTCAAGGTCAGAGTGGAAGGAGAACTATCTGCTGTATTCGAGAGTCTTCTTGGGTCCATTTCAAGGTGACAGTCTCTCCGGCAAGCTCTTATTGAACTTCGCCATTGACTAGCAGAGTCTCCCCCACACATACCCAATCCCCCTATCTTCAAAGAAGGTATGCCACTGGAGTCAGCGTATTCAGACGATTGTAACTTCATGAACGTGGAAAAAGAATCCTTAGAAGCTATAATGCTACCAATAGCTAAGGAAGTCTTCAAGGAGTTTAACCTGTTCATTAACACAGAGAAAACAGAATTTACCCATGTTTTCCTCCCTCCTGTTGGGGAAACAATCCCTGGCCGTGATGATACCATGTTACGTGGAAATGAGGATTGTCGGAAGAGTAAGATTCTTGGGTCATTGTTGTTTAGTGAAAGTGATATAGCTGCTCGATGCATTGCTGGGAACAATGCCTTCTATAAGTTCACCAAGATCTGGTCTCAGCAGAATATCTCCGTTACCAGAAAGATAGCAGTATACGAAGCCCAAATTTTATCAATCATCATGTATAATTGCAGTAAGTGGTGTCCTACTGCAAAGTCACTAGAAAAACTAGACATTTGCCATAAAAAACACCTTAGAACATTACTGAACATTTATTGGCCTCATGGAACAATATCCAATGCAAACTTATACCTAAGATGTAACTCAGTAAAGCTATCAGATCGTGTCCTTAAAGCAAGGTGGAAGCTCCTAGGACCTAGGTCATATCTTGCGTAGTGCTGATGACTCCCCCGCAGCATTAGCGTTAAAGTATGCTGTCACAACAAACTGTAAAGGGCGCGTCGGTGCGCATCGTAAGAATTTGTTCAAGATTATTGTGAATGATTTGACCCGTAGAGGTTTAAAACTTAACTCTTTGAATGATCTTAATAAGCTTAAGATATTAGCCGATGATAGAGTTGCTTGGAGAAACAAAATTTTACTCTAGCTTTCTTGATCTGTACTGATCACCATTTTAGAATGACTTGATTTCTTTTAGGGGTTTTGAATATTTTAATGTCAACCGACATAAACATAAACAGTTTCTTAATAATTCAAATGGAATGAATTAAAGTTTTAAATAAACTCACGTTCACATGAAACCTCGTATACATCCTGTGCATAGCCGCCTCCTCTACCATTTACACAGTTATTCGCCCCTCCGTATCTGTTGTATGTTTGACCAGCATTTTCTGCGGTGAAACACTCAATGTTGTATTGGACTGCAAATATGGTCCAGCCTCTGGCTCCAGCATAGTTTGCGCAGTCAACAATGGGGTTGTTTGAACGTAACCTGATTCCACCGGCTATCGCTCTGTCCGCAGCGTCCCTGAAGCAGCCAATTCTCCTCGAGGTGCAATCCCCTGAAATGAGTGGTCGATAGAACTCATAATTTGAAGAGAAAACTGTGATTGACTAATGGAAACTACATGTCTCATAAAGCAGTAGTAATAAGCAGTGATCATCGTGGTAAATATAAAATGTTCCGCTCTTACCTGGACCACCGAGCACGTTGTTACTGAGAGCAGTGCTATCAGCAATATTACTCTAATCATTGCCATTCTGTAGGGTCATGTGTCTTTATACAAGTTAATATTCCTTTTTAAAAGAGGGGTTTTGAAATTTTTAATTAAAACTGCCCTTGTTTACTCTTGGGAAAAAAAAGTTGAAATGTGAAATGTAAAAAAAACTGGTCAACAAGGAATGGGGGCCCCCAAAATTCTTTAACCCGGGATTTTTAGGGTTGGTAAATTTTAAACCCCCTTGCATAGCCCTGATTTTTTCGACTGGAAACAAGGTTTTAAACAATTTCTTTATTTGCCCCGTTCTACCCCCTTTTTTTTAAGACCCCCCCCAAATTTAAATGTTATTTGTGAAGTGTTTTTCCCATTGGATCAACCCGGAGACTGTTTGAAAATCGAGCGGTCGAGGGCCCAAACCTTCCCGGTTATGTAACTGATGGGAAAATAACATGGGTTTTTATATAAATTTTGCTGGGCCCTTTGTTCTTTAAAAAACCCCCCAAAAAATTAAAAAACCTTCTGTAATTTAATTTCTATTTTAGTTAGCTTTTAAATTTTGGAGGGCGTTTCAATTCGTTGGGTTTTAAATTGGCCCCAAACCCTTTAATGGGTTAGCATTTTTTTAAATACCCAAACTACGAAAAAAAAGGGGTACGGGGGAAATTAAATGGCCAAATACCATTAAAAGGGGGTTTAAAAAAAAATTTTTAAAAAACTTTAATTTCCATTTTTAAATAATTATAAAAATTCCCATTTTTCTTTTGGGCCCTGAAAAGGTTTTTATCATTTAAAATTTTCGTATAAAAAAACTTTGATTTAAGTTAAATTTTTTTGGGTTTGAAAGGGCACAACCCCCCAATTGGGGGGGAAAAAGGTTTTTTAAAATTTTTCATTGGAATTTTAGGTTTTTTAAAATTTTTAAAATTCTCAAAAAATAAATTTTTTTTTAAAATTGGGAACATTTTTTAAGTACTCAGCTTTTTATTAAAGGGGGTAAAGGGCCCCCGGGGTTTTAAAAGGGCTTTACCAAAAAGGGGAAAATGGATAAGTTTTGGGGGCCCAGAGGTTTTAGTGAAATTTATTTATTTTTGGAATTGGTTACGGGGGAAGCGGGGCGTTTAAAAAAGGTTTCTTGATCCTTTTATAATTAAAAAAACCAAAAGTTTTAAGGATTTTAAAACCCAAGTTTAAAAACCCCATAATTTGTTTTTCCACCATTTCCAAAAATTGCCCAAAATAACCTTAAGAATTTTTAAAAGCTGGATATCAAAACACAACCCTTCCCCCCGGGGAGGAAAAAAAAACCCCCTTTGCCTTCTTCAACTTGAATTTCTAAAACTTTTAAACTAGTTTCCCCCCCCAAAAAATTTGAGGGAATCCTTTTAAAGCCTTTTTGAACGTTACTAATCAAAGTTAAGTTCTTGATAAATTTTAAAATTGGGGCCCCCTTGCCAAAAGGCAAGGGAAAACCGGATTTTTTGGCGATTTCCAAACATTTAAACTCAACCCTTAAGGGGACCTTCCTAGCCTAAAATTTTAAAAATTTCCGCACATTTTTTTAGCCATTTTAAACCAAATCAGAACCAAATAATTTAGGGGGGGCCATTTTTCGAAAAAAAATTATTGGGGGAAAAAACCCCAATTTAAAAAAGGTACCCAAAGAAAGGGAAGGAATTTGGGAAAAACATGAGAAAACAACGGACCGTCCCTTTAAATTTGGTTGAGAGGTTTTCTTTTGGGGTCCGGGTTTAAAATAGGCGGGAAACCGAAAGGGTTTTTTAAATAAAATTTTTCAATATTAATCAGAAATTAAACCTTTTTTCTAAAATCTTTTGCCCCCAAAGGTATATGCATGTTGTCGCGAATTTGAAAGAAAAACCAAGTTTTCAAATTTTTCCCAAAAAAAGGAGGGGCAAGTTAATTTACCAACAAAGGGAAAAGGAAAATCTGGGAAAGTAAAGGGGAAACATTTATGAAGAAATTGGCCCTTTTGGGAGGATAACCCCAAACCTTGAAGGGTTTAATTTTTCTTAAAAAATTTTTTTAAAAAAGGGCCCACTTTTGAAAAATTGGGAAAACTCCAATTTCTTTTCCCATTTTAAATGGCCCAAAAAAAACCTTTCCAAAACGCTTTAAAATTTAGGCATATTATATGGCCTTTATTTGGGCACTTTTTTGGAACTTTTTCTCCCCACTTCCCAAAAAGTTTTAGTTTTTCCTTTTGTTTTTAAAATTTAGGTTTTTGGGTTTAATTTTTTGGGAAACCCCCCCAGTTTTCCCATTAGGTTTTTAAAATGTGAACAACCCTTATGGTTTTTGGTAAATTGTTTCCACTAGCTACCCATTTCCCCAAATTTTAAAACCGAATTTTAAGTTAAGGAACTCCAACCGTTTTCTTGGGCCCCAAAGCTTATTTTTCCTTTTTTTTAAAATTTTAATTAGGTGGTTTAAATTGGGGCCCCCCCCTTTTATAAGCCAAGGGGTTATAAACCGATTTTAAGGTTTTAATCAAAATTTTTAACCTCCAAAGGCGCCAAGTTTGGGATTTTGGTTTTTGAAAAATTTTTTAAATTTTAAAAAAAATAGTATTGTATCGGAAAAATTAAAACCCCTTAAACTAGGTTAATACCAAAAATATATTCCTTCCGGGTAAGGGTTTAATTTAAATTTTAAGGATTAAAGGGCCCAAACTAAACCAAATAGAAAACTTTATTGGGGGGGCCCGCCCTAAAAAAAATTAAAACTATTTTTTTTTCGAATATTTGGTGGACGTTGGTTACAAAAAATTTCCCCCAAACTTTTTGGGTTTGGGGGTTTGCTTTTTTCCTTTTGGGGGAACAAATTTTCCCTTTTCTTTATTGAAAGCTTGGATCTGTTTTGAAATCAAACCCGTTTTTTTCTTTGGGTTAATTTGCCTCGCCAAAAAGCCCCCTTTTTTAACCAAAAATTCAATTAGTTAAACAATGGGATGTGGATACGGGGCGGGGAGGTGTTTCCTTTTTTGGGAAAAAGTTTAGGGGGGCCCCCTCTATTCAGAGGTTGAAGTTTGTGATGAAAATTTATGTATTATAGAAGCTTTTGTACCACTTGAAAACCTTCTTGCCCCCCCTTTGGCCCGCCCCCGAATTTTTTTCGAACGGAAGTTTTAAAAAAAACCGAAAAATGCCTTTTTATTAAAAATTGGATGTTTTATTTTTAAATTTAAGGCAAAAACCCCAACATTATCCCTTTCGGTTCTTAAAGACCTGGGCCGGGGGGGTTAAGTAAAACCCAAAACGACGAGGCTTTTCCCTCACCTTAACGATCGAAACGGGGACAAACACAATTTTCGGGATGAAATGTTCGTTGAAATTTTTTTTAATTTTGAGCTTTTTAATTTGGATTGAAGGCAGAGTACGAAAACCCAACAGCAGGTTGCAATCTTTTGGTGATTGTTTCTTTCCTCCCCTTGTGCAAACCCACGATTTGGGTTGGTTTCAACCCCAAACAAACACTCAAAAAATCTTTTTTACCCCAAAGGGAAAGAACTTTTTGATTCTGAAAACGAAAGGAAAAAGGATTATTCTCGTTAAGAACTCGAACAGGTACAAATTCAAATTTTCAGACCCAAAGCCCGATGCAAAGGCCCAAAGGAAACTTTAAAATTTGGAAACCAACACCATGATAAAAACAATCAAAATTAACAATTTGAATAAATTTTTTTTTTGAACGACGGGCAGATGCACTCCGTGATCCTTGGGACCGAAGGGGCCAAAATTGAAAAAACTAAAAGGGGGGTTTGTCCCCGTGAGCCCCCCAAAATCCCCTCAACCCCCGCCAAAAACCCAAAAGGAGAAATTTTACGCCGGGGAAACCGGTTTTTTATTTATTAATTAAAAAAAATAGGGGGTTTTTTTTTTTAACTTTTTTATCTGTTTTTGACCCTCTGTTTTTTTGTTACCCCTTTCCCAAACGCTTGGCTGGGCCCAATTTTTTCAAGGTGCTTATATCTGTACGCGGTACAACGCCATGGTTACAAAGAACTAGAAATATTTGGGACAAAATTTTGCCATTACATTTCACAAAATTGGGAATTTAAACTTTTTAAACCCCTAATTTTGATAGTTTTGGAAAACCTAAATTTCGTGGCTTTCAGTTTTCGCCAACCCACCCACCCCTCAAACCCTAAAATAGTGAATTTTTAAATTCAAAAGGGTTTAAAACCCTTAAAAGGAGGACATGACAATTGGGTTTAAATTTTGGGGCCCCCAAATTTCCGAGTTACGAGGTTTCCCAATTTGTCAGGGGGCCGTTGGGACGTAATGAAAATAGTCCCCCCCGGGTTTGACCAGGTGCCATTTTTTGAATTTTTCTTTTGCTGTCCTTTTACACAAAAATCAGTTACAAAATTTTTAGTACGTAACCCCGGCCCGGTTTTTTGTGAGAGGGGAGCAATTGGTTTACAATTATAGCTAAAAAGTTTTTCAAAAAACCGAAGTGATTCGATTAATAAAATCTACTGGAAATCCAATTTTCAGGGCCCGTGAACCCAAAATAGGTTTTCTATCGTGGGAATGCACAGAGGGAAACAAAGATAATTTAAAAACCCGGCCCCGGTTCAAAACCCGGGGGTTTTTTTACATTTCCGGCCAACAAAACCCTGGGACAGCTTTTGAAAACCCTGCAGGGCGGTTTAACTAAATTTGAACTGGGGACACGCCAAAATTTCCCTTTTAAATTTGGGTTTCCAGATTCATTTATAAACTTTTTTGCCCATGATAATAAATATGACCATCAGTGGTTGGGTTTTGCGTGTAAAAATAGAAATAAATTGTTGAACGTGGTAAAATGCCCAGCCCACAGAGCTAGCTTTTATGAGGCGGGGTAAACCCAAACCCAGCAGGAAAATAAGAAATGAAAAACTTTGCCCCTTTAATGGTTAAAGCAAATTTCTTCACATTTTTGAAATATTCTCCTTAGCATCCGGGGGATTGTTAACAAAGAAGTTTTAACATTGTGTGAACCCTGAAAAAATTGTTGAAGGTTTAAAAACTCTTCACACCCAATTATTTTTTCCGCCCGGTCCCAAATTTTTGGAAATCGCTTCCCCGGGGTTAAAAAGTTCTGACGGGAAGGGATTGTTAAAAAAGGAATTTTAAACCAAAAAACGTAAATGAGGAAGGGGAATTTAAAAGGCAACTAAGAATTTGCTTCATGGGTCAAGTGCTGACATGCACCCGTGTTAGCGTTCACATGCACCCTCTCAGTTTCTCATTTGATCTCATGCAGATGCAGAAGAGGTGCCGACCAGAGTAAACAGGTTACTGTTAGAACAGTGATTATTGAACGTATGATAGATAAACAACCAATACTACAGCGGTGGATTCAAATGTCACCTGGTCAAACCCGGGGTGGACTATTTAATTGAGCGTCCCAACGGCTCCTGACACATGGTAGAACCTCGTAATTTCTGGAAATTGGGTCAAACTTAACCCTAATTGTCATGTCCTCCTGTAGGTTTTACCTTATGAATTTATAAAATTCACTAGTGTAGTTAGAGTGTGGCATGGTGATTGGCGACACTTGAAAGCCACGAACTTTAGTTGCTCAAAGCTATCAAAATTAGGGTTAAAATGTTAATTCAAGTATGTGAAATGTGAATGTGACTTGTATTCTGTACAACTATTTCTAGTTCATGACGTAACCATGGCGTGTGTACCGCGGTACAGATATAAGCACCTTGAAATTGCCGAGCCAAGCTGTGGTAGAGATAACAAATTGAACAGAGGGTCAAATACAGATAAGAAAAGTTAACAAACGATATATATAATATCCGTCTGCTCAATCTTCCTGTTTGTGAGTGGACGGATCGGCGTCACGTGACATAACACCTCTATTACAATTGGTCGCTCGGTCAGGATCACGGAGTGCATAGGCTGCCCGTCGTTCAGAAAACAATTTGATTCAGTTGTTATTATGATTGTTATATCATGGTGTTGGTTACCTACCTTCATTGTGCTCCTTTTGACTTAGCTATCGTGCTTTGCTCTGAAAATTGTGATAGTACCTGTTCGAGTCTTAACGAGACGATATCCTTGTTCTTTCGTTGCAGAATCAAAATGTTCTCGTTTGAGTAGAACATGAATTTTGAGTGTTGTTGGGCTGTGAAACCAACCTAAATCGATGTCTCGCACAATGGTAGGTGAGAAACAGTCACCGAAATGAGTTGCTAACCTGCTATGTGTTTTCGTACTCTGCTCTTCACTCAAGTTGCAAAGCTGCAATAAACATAGTGCAACGAACATTTCTATCTGAAAATTGTGTTAGTACCTGTTCGATCAGTTAAGGTGAGGATTGCCTCGATCTTTCGCTTTCAGCTTAACTCCCTAGGCCCTAGGTCATGAGTAGAACCGAAGGATCAAAATATATGTTGCTTGTTGCTCGTATTAACATATAAAACATCCATTTTGAGGATGAGGAAGTGTTTATAGGTTCTGAAACCTAGTTAAATCGATTTTTCGTGCAATTTTAGGTCAGTAACAGTCATCAAAATGAGTTAATAAGAAGGTCGATTCTCGGTTATTTTTAAGTTTTCGTTCAGAAAATAATTCGGACCTTCAAAGGGGGGTAACAATAAAGGAGTTATAAGTGTTACAAGCGTTCTATAATATAAAAATTTGCATCACCTCTTCAACCTGCTGAATAGAGGCGCCAACTAAAACGTAAACAAACAATTATCACCTCCCCGCCAGTATCCACATCTATAGACATGTGAAATATCATAAAGTTCTTCCTGTGACAATCTTCTAAAGTTAAATTGGGAAAAACGTGGTCCATCTCGTGCGAACTTTCCTGATGACCAGGGTCGCTATCGATATTTGATACAATTTCAAAACAAGAAGTGTGAAAAACTGCGATCGAGCTTGATCGTGATAATTCTTCAACAGATCGAAATTGTGTCACTTTAGTCAGGGTTAGAACTTGTACTTGTATAGTTTCCAGATCCATGATGTGATATATAATAAAAGAGCAATATTTTGCGTCAATTTAACCCGTCCCACAACTTCTATCATGTGGGCTCTGTTAGACGTGTCTAGAATATTCAGGAAACTAGGCAAATGTGCTGCAAATTTGAAGACAACAAACAAAATTAAGCTGAATAATTCGCTAAATTTGCCGCCTTTAGGTACTCTCAGGTTGGATTAGTCAACAGCGTAGTATATAACGTTGCATTACACGACTGTTGAATTTAACACAACAAATAACTTTCAAGGTTAATGTCTTATACTGAGCTTGTAAAAATCTGCAGGAAGTGAGGATTATTTTTCCTGAAGCACAGGTCTTGAGGTCTTTATCAATGTATAAATAATTCAATTTCACTCGTAGGCAACGTTTTTAGCTTGGGGAAAATCCTACAGGAAGCTTTGAAGTTGAGTGATTAAATCGTGATTGACGCGTACTTAAAATGTTGATATTGCCAGGGAATGCTATCTGTGTGTTCATTGTGAGAGTACACCTACTGTCATACTCCTTACAGGTTTTAAGGAATTGTATTTCTGTCCCCAGGAACGACTTGTTTCATAACAAGTCCACACCCGGCGAATGAAGTAAAGTAAAGTAAAATTCGTGACGTCACATCATCACACATGTCTACTCCCTCGATTGGCTCCCTCAAATCTTATGAATACTTCATAAGGAACACTCAAGTCTCAATGTACACAATGTAACTCATCTAATGGTGTAATCGTTCAAGCTTTGCACTTGATTCATTTTCCATTGTCTCGGTTTTGTATGGTGAGCCTGTGAACTAAAGGCATTGTTGAAAGTTAGATGTGTACGGCGATTGAGTGTATAAAACTCACGTTTCGTGAGGGAAGGTATATGTCGTGTTTATTCTCAAGGTTGAGGAGAAATGTTAATCGTTATATTTGGGGTTCACAAACTTTTAAAAACGTGCTATATCTGAGCAATTAAGACCGAACATTTTTCCCCGAAAGAGTGTTGCGGACCATTTTGTTCAAGGGTTGATGTTTGAACTAAACTTTAATGCATCAATAATGTGTGAAATTGTTGATATGAAATAAACTATAAAGATGATTGCTTAATGTTTATTTTCATTAAATTGGTAGTAAACAAGGGAAACATCTGATTAAAATAAAATATAATTGTAACAATAATTCCATTTTTTCCCATAATTATGTTAAACAATAAAAGCTAAATTTTAGAAAAATTGGATTTTCATAAGTTATTTTTTGCATTAATAGCTAATTTTTTTGTATTTTTAATGCATTGTTCTGATCTAGACGTAAACAGATTTCTTCATCTCTGCAAAGGCTGTCAGCTTTTTCAGTTTTCTTTTTAAAATATTTTTTGTATGGTATAGTAATGCTATTACCATCACCGTCTTCGTTTTATCTACCACTCCCCACTATTGGACTTTTACTGATGCTGCGTCAGAGACATATTCTTTACCATCAAGTGTAACCACACAACTGAAGTAACACACTTTAAATATAAATATAAAAGATCCATATGATTTGTAATCATCTTGACGTATATAAGGCAAAATGAAATACGAATCTGAAAAGCAAGGGCCTTGATACTTACTAATGAGGTGTGTTCCTGATTGTCTCGGAGGGTTCGAATTCATGTTTCCGCCATTTTTTATTCGTATCTTACATTGGACTTATCAAAAGTAATAAGACAAATTTCCTAATTTAAAAGACAAATTAACTTACATGTAACTGCTATCCTCCACATTCTTGCTAAGTTTAAGCTTGTATGAACCTTTTTTGCCTTTTCCGTTCTTGCACTGGCTTCTGACACCATTCTCTAACTTACATATCTTTACCATCTTTCTGGTAACTTTCTGAAATATTTAAATACTATAATACCTCTGCCACTGAGTGCTGAGCGCGATAATCCCCGACAGCTTGCTGAAGGGAACGCGCGGGCACGAAGTAGTGGAGGTATTATAATACAATAATACCTTGGCTGCTTCGGGCCGCAAATTCCCTCCAGCAAGCTGTCGGGAATTATCACGAGCGGCCCGAAGCAGCCAAGGTATTATTGTATTTTAATATTTGAGTACTTGCCGCCAGCCAGTCTGAGTCTATGCTGATAATACCTTCGCTACCCTTGTGGGAAAAATGTGCAAATTATCAGCTCTCGGTGTCCCCGAGTTTTAGTAGATATAATTCCCGGAAGGTATTATAATACATAATACCTTGGCTATTTCGTGCCCAGCACTCAATAGCCAAGGTATTATAATATTATATCTACTTTTAATGAACATGAAATTAGTAAATTCGGGAACCCCAAGTAATTACAACTGTGACCTACTTGAAGATAAATTAGTGAAAGGACTTCTTTATAAGAGATCTTACCGAGCCATCTGTAGTTTTGACTTTGAACTGAACTTTACATCCTCTTTTGCCTTTCTTGCAATTCAAGATCGACTTAGCAGGACTGACTGTCAGCCTGGGAACTACAGGTATCTCAACAGCAACGTTAAAGTCAGCAGTATCTGATTTTCCGTTCTTCACAGCTTGGCAGGAATATGCTCCACCATCAGGAGCATCTGCGTTGCGTACCTTCAGCACCAACCTGAATAGAGTTTGGGCTTAGTTGATCTATTTTTAAAAGGGAACGGATATAAGATATATGGAATTACTAATATGAACGTGCTACTCGGCCACACTCTCGCGAAGTAATTCAGATAATCGTTATGAATGTACAAACTTGTCTTCTGAAATTCCTGCTGTTATTGGAGATCCATTTTTTGACCATGTGATGTCTCTTTTCAACACTCCGTTCACATCAATTTCACATGTAAGAGCTATTGTCTGTCCTTTGTTCACTTTCACATCCGGGTTTATTGCCTGTTGTTTGGGGCGTTTTAATGAAAAATTTCATGAAATGTCATCAAAATTATTTGACTTTCATACATATGTTTCATAAGATTAACACACCAACACAAGAAGTGTAGCTAACCTTGTCAGAACGGCTGGCTGTGAATGATGGGAACACCTTATAGAAAGTAAAGTTTTGCACCCTTTTTTCGGCCTGATTTAAAAACTGACCTTGACCAATCAGCTGCACAGTAACCACAGCAAGAATCATCCTTTGAGCCTGTACCTGTTAGCAGCACAACTCAGAGCGGGGACACGCTAGGTCTACACAGTTCATTGCACCTTCACCTGCACAAGTGCAAGATTGGCATTCTGCAGGTTCCTCAACGACGTCTCCAACCTTAAAAATTATTCAAATTTTATGGCCGAGATTGTATCTCTGTCGCAAATTTTTGAAATGAATCACACCCGGAAATTTCATTGAGTCGTCACATGTTGATTAAGTTTATGGCAAAAAGAAAATCTAATTTACACGGACACTTAGTAATACTCGTATCCCTGTACTAACATTGTAGAATTTTCCCTCATAGATACATTTGCACTGGCTCGCTTCAACACAAAACACCATCTGGAGGAACTGTCCAGAAGGACAGAACATCCTCGAGCTGTTGACTCCTCTTCAGGGTTTCTGTCCAGACAGGATGGTGATGGAATTGAGGCACGAAGCATGATATGTTAGTCCCTCCGGACACTACGTAAGCTGAAAGAAATGATCCATTATATAGAATAAATTTTCGCATGATAGGTAAATATGTCATGCTAGAGTTTGTTTATTTTTTTAAAAAATTGGTTTTTCGGCAGATTTTTTTAAAAAAGTCCATTTTAGTAAACTACACTAAACCACACTTTTTCTCCAGTTTGGAGATCAAATCCCCTTTTTTTTGGTTTCATTGTCGGCATTTATATCAAAATTTGGGGAAAACCGCACAGGCCTTTAAAATATAAAAATTTAGATTTATTACTTTCTAATATAAAAAATTAATATCTAAAATAAAAAAATTTATATGTAATTAAGGGACTATTAGAGTTTTCATCTGGGGGGTAAAACCAAAAATTTATTTTTTGGAAATTGGGTGATCTGTGGTTTTTTTTAAAAAGTTTCCATCCCAAATTTAAAAAATACTCAAAAAAATGCAATGAAAAAGTAGGTTTTTTTTATAATAATTTAAAAAAAATTTCCATGCTTCATAATAAAAATTTCCTCTTAAAACCAAGTCATCGCGAAATTTGGGGATTGGGCCCGACCCGGGTCCATGTAAAAAATTCCCGCATCTGTCAAAACGTTCCTTTTACACACCCCCGTCTAAATCTCCATTTTTTTTAAAAAGTTGAATGGCAACTGCTGAAAGGGTTTCCCCCAAAACAACCCCGGGTGATCAATTTGAAAATCAAATCCTCATCCCAAATTTTTAATTTTTTTAAAAAACTTTGCAAGTTCATAAAAAAATTCCTAAAAAAATAGAAATAAAAAATGAAGGAATTGGGATTTTTGAAGGGAACCCCGGACAACCCTAACCCAACGAGGCCTTTTTCTCAAAAAAGGAATTATTTCTTGGAACTTTTGGCTTCCAATAATTTTTGAAACATTTGTCCAAAAAGGGGTTTTTTTTAAAAGGGGTTAAAAAGTGCCCCGGGCCCTTAAAGGGAAGGGGGGATGGGGGGTTTGCTGTACGGCCAAAGTTTCAAATATTTGAAACCTTTTTTTCTTAAATTTCCGTAAGGACCAACTCTACCCCTTTAAATTATTTTTCCCTTTTTTTCAAATTTGAAATTTAAAAAAAACACCGGTTCTGAATTTTTTGGGGTTTTTGGGCCGTTTCGGGAAAACTCCGAGAGTTTTTGGGTCCTGGAAGGGAAAAGGGCCCGTTTCCCCCCCCAACCCCTTTTCAAACAAAAAGGTAAACTTTGCTTGGTTTTGTATATTTAAAATTTTCCATGGGGTTTTTAAGGGATTATTTTGGGTAAAAAGTGGATTACCTTGCGTACCTTTAAACTTTTCCCCAAAAACCCCCTGGGTTTTGTAAACCCGATAATCCACCCCCGGCCTTTGGGTTTTTTAATCTAACCCCTTATTTTAAAAAAAAGTATTTTGAAATTTATGGTTTTTTCTGGGGCCGGCCTTGGTTTTGGTAAAACTTTTTCCCAATTTTCCCCGAAAAAAAAGGGTTTTTTCCAACTGGCCGAAAAAAACGGGTTTTAATTTAAATAATAAAATTTTTTACCGAGTAATATTAAATCCCCCCCCTTCAATTATTTAATTAATCATTTTTAAGCCCCCAAAATCAAAAATTGAATGTAAATTTTTAACCATAGGGCATTCAAGACAAGGAGAAGAAAATTTCGGGTTGGGAATTTTTTTGGTCAAAAAGGGTGGACGGGGTTTTTTTAATTTTCCGTTTTTATTTTTTTTTTAAATTTAATATTTGAAACTTTTATTTGGGCTGAAGTTACCTTTCCTCAACCCGTTTTCTTCCGTTCAAATTTTAAAAAATTTCCCATTTATTTTGATTGTTTTCTTTCCAATTAAAAAATAAAAAATTTTTAAAATTAAACCCGGCCAAAAAAATTTAAAATTAATTTGTTACTTCCAATTTTGGGGAAAAAAAAATCCAAAGAGTTTTTTGGTAGCCTTTTTTTTGGTCAAAAGGTTTAAAAAAGCAGCATTTCCCCTTAGTTTAAAAAAATTCCCCCGGGTTTCCCAAGACCCAAAACCCTTTTCTGTAATTTCCGGGAAAACTTAAAAGGGGGTTGGATGTAAAATGTTTTATGTTTTTTTTTAACCCTTTCCTTAAATTGGGATTGGGGAAAGTGAAAAATTTTGGGTTAAAACATTGTTGGCCCAATTATTTTTTTAATCAATCTTATTAAATTTTCCAATTTTCCTTTCTTTTTTAAAAATTCCCGAAAAACCCCAAGGTTCTTTCAAATTTTAAAATCCTTTTTTTAAAAGAAATTTGCAAATTGGGAGAAATTCCCTTTTTACGGGGGGCCCCCCAGGTTAAAAAACCCAAAATTTTTTGGACATAACCCCCTTCTTTTTGGGTTAAATTTCAATCTAAATTCCCCTGAAAAGAAAAATTTTTGTTAAACTTTTTTAATTTTGAATCAAAATTTTCCCTTTTAACTTCCCTTATTTTTTTTTTATGGCAAAATTTTAAATCAAAAAAAATTTAAAAAAATGTTTTAACTTTCCCCCCCCCTTTTTAGACTCCCACTTGAAATAACTTTTTTAAATTTTTAAAGCCCCCCTTACCCTTCCCGGGTTTTGTATTGGGGAACTTAAAAACTCCGGAAAGTTATTTTTTTTTCCCCCTTAAGGGAAAATGCACCTTTACCCCAAAATTTTTTTTAAGAATTTGGCCCCCCGGGATTTTTTGATTTAAAATTTTTCTCAAAAAGGGGAAACAAATTTGTTTATTTCCGCCTTTAAAATTTTTTCCCCCCCTTAACAATTATTTGAAATTTTCCCTTTAAAAGAAAGTTTCTTTCCCCAGAAACTTACCCCCCCTTCTCCCGGGGGCAAACAAAATTGGGGACGTATTCCCCGGGTTTCAAAAGCGAATACTTTCCCTTTTATACCACCGCCCGTTTGGTAAATTAGGATGGTTTTCCCGCCCCTAAATCTAACATTTTTTGGAGGGGTTTTTTCTTTTAAAAAAAAGATTTTAAAATTTTAAAATATGGGGGGTAATTTTTAAATTTGAAGGGAAAAAATTTAAAATAATTATTAGTTTTCCTTAAAAGTAAAAAAAAATTTTTTTTGTTGATGTGGCCAAATTTTTAAATCGTTTAAAAATTGGTTTTCTTTTAAAAATGTTTTCGTGGAAAACAATTTTTAAAATCCACAAATTGGGTTTACCCTTTTTTGGGAAACCCCCCCAAATTGTGATTGGATGACCCTTCCATTTGGGAAATTTTAGTATTTCCTCAAAGGTGGGTAAATGGGATACCAAGGAAAAGGGGAAAATTTCGCCGGCGGGAAAAAACCCCCTTTTCCGGGCTTCCAATTTAATTTTTTTTTTCCCTTTTTTAAAAGGGTTTTTTGGTACAAATTTTTAAATTTTAAATACCTTTTAAAACATTTTAAAGGTTCTGTTTTAAAAAAATTTCTTAATTTCCCTTTACCCTTTTAATTTCATTTAGCCCTTGGGGCAGGTGGTGTTTTTTGGGGCCCTTTCTATTCCTAAGGGCCCGGAACATTTTTGGGCGCTTAAAAAAACCCAAAAAACCCCGAGGGGGAAAACAAATTCTAAGGAGAAAATTGAAGGACCTTCGGCTTTAATTTTAAAATTTGCAAATTTTTTGGGGGGGGAAAAATTTTAAAAATTTCTTTTTTTTTTCGGCATAAAATAACCTTTTAAACCCTTTAAATTTTTTATTTTTTCTTTTTCTTGTTTTTTAAAAATAAAAATTTAAAATTCATTCCCCCTTCTTCTAAAAAATTTTATAATATTAAAATTTTTAAGGGGGCCCCCCTTGGTTTTCCTTTTCCTAAGTACCCCAAATTCTTTAAATCCGATTCTTATATTGGTCAATTTAACCTTTGACATAGACCTGATCTGTCGACTGGAAACTACAGGATGTAAAAATCTCACATTTGACAGTTCTACCACCCTATTTTGAAGACCCCCCACGAATTAATGTGAGTTGTGACGTGACATTCCATTGGATCAGTCCTGAGACTGATTGCAATCGAGAGGTCGGCGCTGACCTCTCGGTTATACAAGGTCAAAAGGAAATTGCAGCACGTGCGGAATCGCGATTTCCGAAATACCCGAAAACTATGTTTTTGGTACTTTTAAAGGTAATTTTTGGTGACAAACATATTTGAGTCATTCTCAAAGTAGCCTTTGACAATAGCATGTTTGAAGAGCCTTGCTGATAGTAATAGTTATACTTATACTATATACTTATATATTGCTATTAGGGATGAGATCATTCCAAATTTTGGTACAGGTGTACAGAAAGTTCTGTTGGGATCATAATATCTGATCTCAGTAATGGGATCAGACGAAGTTTTTCATTTTTAGGGCAGAACTTGAAAAGATCTTTAATGGACTGAGGGACATCAAATTTAAGGATTTTGAATACCTTAAGAACGACAAATTCAGTCTACCATAAATTTAGTCAAACTTTTGACTAAAATTGTTGCAAACCAAATTTCATGTGACTAAATTTTTCGGCGACTAATTTTGAAGTAGACCAAAATTTTAGTAGAGCATATATGAGTTAAATTTTATTGAGCTTACATTCTTTATCATATGTTTATGATAAACAGTTAAATATCGCTAACTGTACACAGGTCCCCACTGCGTGTAATAAGAAATTGTATGCTATGATATGTAACTAATGTATGTAATGTTGGCTCGCCGTTGGAATGTTCCCAGATCGAGAATATCCTCCTAAGTACCAAAATACGCCCGTATGGTGTAAGACCTGTATTTACAGGATCACGATTCACGAGGTTGATAATTTGTCCACGTGATCGTTTGGCGCGCGGTGTGCACGTTGGCCCATGGGAAATTTCTGATACATGTGTTCCGTTGTCTATACCTAGTTCACTATAAAGTATGACTTAATATGCAAAATTTTAAAAAAACTAGCTTAATAATGGAAAAATCAAATAAATGGAATGGAAAATGGTCTCGAAAAGTCAAAAAATTCGACTGAAATTGTTGTAGACTAAAAATTTGCGAAATTTGTGCCCAAAATTTTGGTCACCAAAATTATAGTAACCAAATTTATTGTGACCCAAATTTTTTGGCCCTAAGGTAGTTCCATCAATTTATGATAAATGTGCAGATTCTCCGGATTCATAATTTTCTGCTCAGTGAACAGCGGTTTAGTGTGTTCAAGACAGTAGTTCTTGCTAGCCATAATATGTTTATTATAAGTTCTCGAACGTGCACATGTTAAGTAGTACTAGTATTCTTTATGATAAAAATTGGGGATGTTACCAAATAGCAGTCTTATACATCGCTTTGCAATTGCACCAATTTTATTCAGCTTGTGTTTTGGAATTTCGATTCCACTCCAGCAACTTATACAATAGCTTGTACAAGCTATACATAAAGACAAGGTGCCGTTCTCTTGTGCAATGTGCATAGTGCTGTTCTCCATGCGGTTCGGCTTTGTATTCGAGTATTAGAGATTCCTTAAGGCACGCTGATCGAGAAATAGACGACTTCAAGTCTCCGTCGTACTCCGTTTTATCGATTCGCATCTACCTCCGGATACAATAGCTTATATTTATAATGTTAGTTATACGTACATAACTTCACAATGTACAGGGTGTTCATGATACATCGGAACGGTTTCAAACGTCTGTAGACTAGATTAATTCATGAAGGAGTCAGGCATGGCTCCACCGTGTAGGTGCAAGTGGTTGCGCACCCACCCAAAGGATGTTGCACCCTCTCAGTTTGGACTTGCACCCACCCAAACTATTTGAAAATTTTTACACCAAAATTGTCAAATTTTGTATAAATTACGGGTCAATTGTCAAACGCAATTGTTTGATTACTTTCTTCTGACTTTTACTCAATTGAGACTGTTTTGAGAGAAATTGAAATACGTTTAGGAGGGTGAAATTCCAAAATTTTCCAGGGAGCTTCACCCCCGTGCGCCGCGCTGCACCGCCCCAAAGATTTTAAGCTGGAGCCATGCCTGGAAGGAGTAACCAGCTACCTTACGATACATATTTATGTTCGACATAATTTCGGTGACCTAAATGATTTGGGAACGAAAATATTGGAATTTGACCGAAAACCGAATTTTTTTCATATTCTTACTTTACAAAAATATGAAAGAAAATTAAATACAAAAATCTTCTCTGATCAGCTGTTCCATCCAGTAAACAATTTCTCCGAAGCCTTTGAAAGTTAGCCTCAACTTAACTTATAATCCTCCAGAGGTTATAGGAGACCGACAGTGTTTGTTATCTTCCACTAATCCCGAAATATCACCGCCGTCGCCAGTATAATAAAGTAGTGACAGAGCTTGCTTATTTTTAATGGAACGGTCCAAAATCATTTTTGAATTGATTCATGATCGAATACTAGTGTTCATTAATTGTTTGAATAATCATATTTATAACTTACTATATTGATAAGTTGATAGTAGATCGATAAAGTCATAATTAAGAGGATAATAATTTGGGGAAAACAATGATGGTGACCTACATTTTTTCCCGATCCATGACTCGAAGTGCCGAAGGCACAAAAGAGTCAAGGACAAGGGTTAGCGATCGAGGTTTTTTTTTGTATATGGTAGCTTTGCGTCCGTGCGAACGTGCGAGCGTGCGAGCGTGCGTGCGTACGAGCCTGCCCACGTTTCTACCTGCGCAAAGTTATTTTGTGTGATAATCTGAATTATATAATTGTTGGCGCGCGGCGCTGAACCAACCAAGTACATTATTAATTTCATCATGTACGTATCCCACTAGGCACTAATTGATAGCATATTATTATTATTTTGAGTTAGAAGTACTATCTTGCACAGATCCGTGTCAGGTTGCATAACCAATAAACATATGGTTACATAGAAATATACACGATTTTCAAATTCAATATAGAATTATATTGACTGGGCGGCAGTCGGCATGTCACTTCGACATATTCGCATGTTTATGTAAACAGTAAAGACTGGGCCGTCCCCAGGTTGTATGGAATATGATTAATACGCCATCACGGATCGGGAAATTGAGCGGCCATCCACAAAAGAAAAGCGGCCGCATTTCTTGTTGTAGTCCGAAAATATGGTGTTTTTTTTTCGAAAAACCACCGACTTTCGTACCATTTAAATATGTCTCGTAAGGTATGCTGTTTTATAGCAATTTATATATTTTCGAGATTATGTTATATATACTATTGTTTTGCTTATCGCTCCCTAATCTAGCTAGATTAACGCTGGCTAGTTTAACGAATTTATATGACATCTAACATCACTCTGCAAATACATTATCTTTCGATTTTACCTAGTTTGGCTTGTCGCGGCGCCGCGATTTTTGGCCTAAATAATCGCGATTTTCTTTTGTCCTTACGGTTACGGGTTATGTGACTGATGGGAAAATAACATCGGCGTATATATATATTAAAGTCATTATTGTAACAGTATATTTGAACCAGACAGAAACAAAGTGTGAACTGTGAAGGGCCCGAACGGAACCCCTTGGTCTCAGTTCCTTGTTTAACATTGCCGTACAGTAAGGACATTCACCGAGTTCGCCAAGGAATGGGTCGATTTTTGATGCAAAACAAGAAAGGGAAAACGGTACCTGAAAGTGTGAATAACTGCGATCGAGCTTGATCGTAATAATTCTTCAACAGATCGAAATTGTGTCACTTTAGTCAGGGTTAAAACTTGTATTTGTATAGTTTCCAGATCCATAATATTACATCTCTACTATAATTCAGAGAATTATCTCTACTATAATTCAGAGAATTCTTTCTGTCTGTACCTACACTGTACGACCGCCCACGTGCAAATTAGATGAAAAATAGGAATTTAGGTAACAACCAAAAGGTTCCATAGCAACGGTGTTTTAATGCACACATGCACGTGCAAAGATTGTTTTAATGTCATTTTGATCGGTTTTGTGGTAATTACGTTGTGTTTAAAGTGTTTTATATTTAAATCGGCTGTATCTTCGGTTGAGATTTAACGGGTGATACTCTTCTCTACTATAATTCACAAGATTCTTTCTGTCTGTCTGTATGTACGACCGCCCACGTGCAAATCAAACGAGAAATAGGAAGTTGTGTAGTTACCATGGTAACGAGGATTGTTACACGCACGTGTACGTGCAATGATTGTTTTACTTTTAAGGTCATTTTGATCGGTTTTGTTGATATTACGCTGTGTTTAGTACGAGCATCTTTTTAATTGGCTGTATCTTCGGTTGTGAAGGATATTTTTTGACGCTTTAAACTTACTAACAAAAATACTATTAGCTTCCTCCCTGTGACCACGGGTTTCCTAGTATTATAATAAAAGAGCAATGTTTTGCGTCAATTTTACCCGTTTCCTACTCAACGTGAATCATCCATTGCTGAGAGGGGCCAGTTTAGTACTTCTGGCCACAACTTCTAGGTAGGCTGTTCTAGACGTGTCTAGAATATTCAGGAAACTAGGCAAATATGGCAATATGCTGCTAATTTGAAGACAACAAACAAAATTAAGCTGAATAATTCGCTAAATTTGCAGCCTTTAGGTACTCTCAGGTTGGATTAGTCAACAGCGTAGTGTATAACTATAACGTTGCATTACACGACTGTTGAGTTTAACACAACAAATAACTTTCAAGGTTAATGTCTTACACTGAGCTTCCGAGAATAATTCAAAATGTATAAATCTATAATTGCCCTCATAGAAGGATTTTTACAACACTAGATTCCAACACATTGTGTATAAGCTTCGTCTAGGGCGTGAGACTGTAGGGCACCGTCCTGAAAAATAGAACTCCTGCACGTGGAGATGTGAAAAGCCCACAATAGTACTGTTTCAAGACACACTGTGCAATTTAGTGGTGTTTATACTGTTATTGTTAAGTTTAACTGACATAACACATCGAGTAGAAGTGTCGCACGGGTGAAATTTACTCAGACATAAATTACCAACATAAATTAGCCGGTTGGCATTGTGCCTATTCTCCTAGACTTCACTGCAATAGGCAGCTCCTCATTTAACCCTCACACCCGATTTCTCGAGCATTATGCCCGGAGTGGATCGGGGGCTGTATAGACCACTCAGGACCCTTAGCTGAGCGTCGACGACGCTCACCCCAGGGCTTGAGGGCTAGTGACAGAGCGGGGAATCGAACCTGGTACCTCGAGAAATGCCAGGCTGATTTATCAACTGAGCCTCTAAGCCGATTACTAGAATAACAATTATTAGAATTAGAATTAGAATCAAATTTACACAGCAAATTGTGCGCATTGTGGTCTCTGGACTTCCTCTGAAGTAGGGCTGGACAGATTTTGTGTAATATGGACCCTTAATAAATAAATCAATTTCAGATCAACGCTTGCGTCTCTGCCGAAACAAGAAACGAACGCCATACTACCGGATTGTGGAACTGAGGATGCGAGTGAAGTGTTTTCTAAAACTTCGGTTACTCAGACTGATATAAACCAGGTACAGTCAAATCTCGATATACCGGCCTCTATATACCAGCCTCGATATACCGGCCTCTACATACCGGCCTCTATATACCGGCCTCGATATACCGGCCTCTACATACCGACCTCTATATACCGGCCTAGCGGTATACCGGCCTCTACATACCGGCCTCTACTTACCGGCCTCTATATACCGGCCTCTACATACCGGCCTCTATATACCGGCCTCGATATACCGGCCTCTATATACCGGCCTCTATATAACGGCCTCTATATACCGGCCTCTCTATACCGGCCTCTCTATACCGGCCTCTATATAACGGCCTCTATATAACGGCCTCAATATACCGGCCTCTATATACCGGCCTCTATATACCGGCCTTTATATAACGGCCTCGATATACCGGCCTCGATATACTGGCCTCGATATACTGGCCTCGATATACCGGGCACCTCGGTCCTCGATAAACTGGGCCGTTCCACTTTATTGACAAGCAACAAGGTGTGATCCAGCCTTTTTTATTTGTTCAGTCTGCCCATGAAATGTTATCATTTCCTTTGTTGTTTTCGTAATTATGCCTCAATCGTTAAAAGGTATCAAAAACCCCCATTATCTTTTTTATGATCAATTTTGATTTTCTGATTCGTGGTCAGGTAAAAATTTTTTCTGAAAATAATTCATACCCCAGATCGAAAAACAAGCTGAACAAGCTGACACCTCAATGGGGGGCTTCAGAATAACAAGTGAGGAAAGCCTGGTCGAAGACTTCAATAATACGCCTAAATATTGAAAACTTCTCTTTTTTCAACTTAAATTGATTATTGTGTAATTTATATTGTAAAGCCTACGATCGTTTTCCACGAGCCCCTGATTTTGTTTTAGCAAAGATTTTTATTACTTTTTATAAAATGAAATACTGAAATATATCTGTTTGAAGTTTTCTATTCTCCATTCTTGGTAGAATTTAAAAGGAACAATTATAAAGTTCTACACAATTTGTGCTGTGTAACGAAAATAGTTCTATGAAACTTTCTGTTAAAGATAGTGTTAATTACCCAAGGTTGCTTAAAGATTAATACCAATTGTAATTGGAGGCATGGTCACTTTGTATGATAACCAAATTAAACATGTCTTACCTGATGATCAGTTCAAAGTGCATGCTCCATGCATGCACAGCTATGTGATATATTTTGAGAATTTGATTGAACATTTAATTGGGTTTGTTTCGAGTTTTTCAACTCTGGACCACTCTTGGTTTTGGTTTACCTTCGGTGTTGAAGTTTAAATTAAATGAGATGTAAGAAGTCGATATGTACGGAATGGCTTGCTATTGCTAATTGATTGATTATTTGATGTTTGTTAATTTGAAACTTCTTTTTGTATTGGACGTAATGATAATCGGATGAATATACATCATATATAAAATTCGTGTATTTGAGACCACGCCCATTCAGTATTGAATCAGTAATAACTTGACACACTCTGTATACCCCTTGTCGTGCGGCGCGGCCTAAGAAAAGATTAAGATGTATACAACGTGTAGCAAGTAATATAATAACCTAATATATTGTTCTTTGCACTTGCAGACATGCTTGTAGCGCGATGCACTACTAGAATATTATACATTTGATTTTTAAGCGTAAAACATACTACTGGTATTTAATTTGGTTATCCGTATCTAGTAGAGTCCGAGTAGCCGTCGCGTTGTGGTTTATCAGAGCTACTCTTTATCTACAAGGCAACTGTTTTTACTTCTAGAGAGGAATCTCAAGCTGCCAAAGAGTTTCTAAGAGAGAGGTGGGCTTCCGACAAAGAAAGAGTACAAGAATCAGTGTGGACAGTGAAATCAGAGATTGACGATGATGCAGCGACTTGGAACCAACTGACCAACTCCTACGCAGTACTTCAGACGGGTCCGGATCTCCGAACAACTTGGTAATGGTATGGAACGAAGTTACCAGATATTTGAAGGACAAGCTGGAGCCCCAGAAACGTAATCACCTGGAGTTCTAACGGAAAAATCACACTCTGTACTCCATAATGAGTCCATATGAACCAGCTTATCTGGATCTATCTGTGTTCAACTCCTTTCTCATGGCTCAGCCGCAAGTGAAAGGTATTTCAAGTTGGCGAAAAACATTCAACATTGTAGGGGATAGCAGACACAACTGATGAGCCATAATTATAAACTACGAAATATATCAGCTCAATGCTCAAGCTCCTTGTCATACGTTGTATGACCCGCCTGTATCGTCAGGACGATAGTGAAACGACCGTGGGTGTCACAACCTGATGGTTATTGGTTATATTACCAATACATTGCCCCGAACAATCTGAACAAAGACGACTGTCACGACTCGGACGACAAGATTAATTGACGATGTCAATTCATGGCAGCTCGGTGCGGCACAGTAGCGCATCTCGCTGTGAGAAGCCTCATTGAGTGCGCTGCGCGGCACAGTAACGCATCGCGCTACAAACGACAAGAGTATGGTTACGGAGTCTAAATATCAAATAAATGCCGTTAGATTTACTGACGAATCAGATGATGAGGACATTGCGCCATAGGGTAGGATGCGTTAATTTACTAATTCTGACACTACAACCTAGTGGTACTGGTATCTTTTACTTTAAACCAGCACTTAACACTTTGATCTTACCAGAGCCCTCTCACTTGCAGTAGCGCGCGACCGCAGTACGCGTATACACATGGCTATGTGAACTTAACACTTATAATAAAACCTAGTATCCGCCACTGATAACATTAACAAGCACAGCTCAGCCAACAAACTGGCACTTAACTCTGACAGTGTTTTGTTTGTTGTTGATTAATTGGTATTAAGAATTTTGCTTTAAACTTCAGTTTTTCAAAAAAATTGTTCATTTGTGCAAAAAATGTTCGATAATTTTTTTAAAATTATTTAAACATTAAAATCCCGATTAGGTCCCGGTCAAAATTTTGCATTTTAGCGGCTAACATTTTTAGCCGTGGCCGGGATTCCCGGCCGCCCCGGTCGATTTTTGGCCGGGACCGGGATTAAGCCTGGATTCCGGTCGAACCTTGCCTGGCACACCAATCCCTGTGCGCAACTTTCCCAGGAAACCTTACTACACTGCCTGGCGAGCTTGCTAGAGGTGAAAATTTTTTAATATTATGTTTGTGATCGTCGTGCGTGATGTAAAGCTCGCTGCTCGCACGCATTTTACAATTTGAATTCAGTCATGATCGTTTAATAATATCCGTTTAATGCATTTAATCCGTTTAATACATTCAATCCGTTAAGTGGCGCTCCAAAGGTCTCCGAAAAATTTTGTTATATATTATGTTATATATTATGATTGGACTGAGTGAAGTTCATACCAAATATGTAATTTTAGTTTATATACTTTTTGCTGGCTGAAATTAGCGCTATAAAACGATCATACAGTCAGTTCGCGCGGCTTATTGTCTATGGCGGCATGGTTCACTTAACCATGTGCTTTCGCGCCACTGCGGAAGCGCAATTGTTTCACAAGGCGCGCGCCACTGCAAGGGCTCTGGATAGAGCAAGCGGCATGGCGCACAGCCTAATTTAATATTATGGCAAGAAGCTTTGAATTGAAGTAGTGCGCACCGCACAGGAGGAGCAAAGTACAAAGAAACTGCCACAAACTGCTACTATAAACTGCTACTAACTGCTACAAACTGACACTAACTGCTACTAACTGCCACAAACTGCTACTAACTGCTACTAACTGCTGCAATCGCGCCCACGCATTCGCGCCCCGTTTGCAGCAGTTTATAGCAGTCAGTGCCAGTTTGTAGCATGCAGTTAGTGCCAGTTTGTAGCTACACATAGCCATGTGTATACGCGTACTGCGTGACGCGCTTGTTGCCTACGGCGGTCGCGCGCTACTGCAAGCGAGAGGGCTCTGGTTAGAGGAAGTTTATAGCAGTTGCACGCGTGTCTTTACTGCGCAACGCACGCCGCGCGCAACTGCTACAAACTGGCACTAACTGCTACAAACTAGTATGTAGTAGTGAGTAGCAGTTTGTGGCAGTTTCTTTGCACTTTGCTCCTCCTGTGACCGAGTCAGTCTATTATATATAATTAATGTATAATGACAATGTACAATCCATGATGGTTCAGCTTCTGTAGGCTAATAATCTACGAAAATGCGCGCCGAGTTGGACTCGTTGACGGTATTGTCACTTGATCTTGACGGATGTTACTCGTCTAAATTTCTTCGAAGTAGAGCGCGCCGCTTTGCGCTTTCTTCTCGAAAGCAAGTGCTACGAAGTAGCGCGCGCCGGGCCAGACCATTAACAATGGTCAATTTTGTCATTTGTATTGTGTCGCTATTGTGTCGGTCTAATATTTGGAACAAATATTTTGCGAATATCACCCCGCGAAAAGTGGCATGCAACGTATGTCAATATTTGTCGCAACCACAGCACACAGATCGCCAGATAATAGCACTACTGGCGACTGGGCCGCTATGCGGGCTTGCTAAATCACTTTACAGTCGATCTTCGAGATTGTTCTAAAAGGGCCCCCGACAGTTGAAATCAACTTCAATCGATGTATTTTCGGACGTTGATTCACGATGTCAATCCTTCGCATCTCGCCGATCTGTGGTTGCGAGAAGCATTATTGGATGCGCGCGCGCGACCCAGTAGTGCATCGCGCTACAATTTCGGACGCTGATTCCGAATCACTCCCATGACATAGGGTTAAAATGCTTTCCTGACGAGATATTGGTAAAAAACTGTTTCGATCACGTGATATGACCGTATAAGGAAGTTAGTCTAATATCTAGTTAGGGTTAGGGTTTCAGCATATGCTTTTGTTAAGGATTTGGTTAGGGTTAGGGTTGGGATCAGATTAGAGGGTTAGGGTTTCGAATAGTCGTTCAGGACCAGCTAGAGAAGGGGTTGAAAAAGTCACATGACAGTCGAGTGTAGAGTGATTAATCATCATCCGCCGCTATGAGCTGTGAAGAATTTATAGCGCGTCAGTCCGACATCGATCCGGTCACTTGTCCATATATCTTTAATGTAGTTTATTTACCTGCGAACCGCAGGCTTTTCTGAAATTATGAGTCGGGCAGTGTTAAGTGTTTGCAGTGCGTGGTGTGAAAACTATTTAATATCCTTCTAAAATGTCAGCAAAGTATATTGAGATTTAATCCATGAATGTATAGTGTATTTTTTGAGAGAATGAAGATTGGGAGTAGTACCGTAAGGTCACCAGGGTAGACACAGTTCATTAAACTTATAGTTATGTTATGGTAATATTATTAAAGCGTGAATGGTGCATAATCTGTCATGTTCAAAAGAACTCATGACATGGACATGCACAGGCTTTGTTGAATGTCTAAATAGTAAATAACAGAGAAATCTTTTGGTTTACACTTTGTACCCTACCCTGATTATCGTCTGAACTATGACTAATTTATCATATCACTTTAAAATGAAGTATAGAATTCGACGCTTTGTGTCTTTCTTGGTAGTACATAACAGCAGAGCGATGAGATATGAGCAACCCACAATTGAAATGTTAATAAATTTCCCTCCAGTGATTTACTGTTTGGTTGATATTTTACGTTTTACTTGCTGCACCTGGTCCACATGCCTTAATAAGTGACAGCACCGTATTTATAAGGGTCTAAGTTCCTAGCTCTCGCTGAAGATGAAACCATTTGAGTCAATCGCGAAAGAAAATACAGAGAAGGATCAATGCTTGTGGGCCACGAGTCATTTTGGTGACTGCATTTTGTTTTATTTTATCTTTGTATCGACGTATTTATTTACATCTCCATCATCCCCTTTTCTGGTCCGTTGCCTTGAGCTAATCTTATCTCTTTCATAGTACTGTTTTGACAGTTATTTTGACAGTCATAGAGTAACTTTATTTCTTCCTTGAACTGCTTCAAGTGTCTAAATTTAGCATTGATTTCATAGAAATTACATAAGGAAACAAAATTTTTGAAGCACCAGTGCTAATGGCCGTATAGCAGAGTTAGATTCTGAAGATTGTGTATCTTGCCTAGTAGACATTTAAGATAAAAATGTCCGATACAATGTAGTAACTTACGAATAAACTAGAAAGTGTATAATTTAGATTCAATGTATGATCGAACAGATCAAATTGCAGTTTGAAAATGTCTGGAAGTAAATTCAGCTACTCAATGATTGTTGTGTACGATCAAGATAGCTGGTCTGTTACTGAACTGTTGCATTATTTGTTAACTAGTGTAACCCGTGCCTACGGCCGGGACTTCACTACCGCAGTTGAAATGCAAAAGTATAAACCCCCTATTATATTTAAAACACGCATAGCATGAAAGTATGAACTCTCTACAGTCCAAACAGACTGCAATGAGTGCCCCCTCCCCTAAAAGCTTATAGCATTACATGACAGTGAATCTTATGCGGCTAACCTAATTATGATTCATGTACCAACGCTACATATGCAGCTACATCTAATGCAGTAATTGGAGGGAGAGCGAGGAGGGAGAAAAAGTGAGTCATTTTAGTCACATTAGTGGTACAAAAGTTAAAACCATCAATTAATCCACCTTCCACCAACCAATTTGAAAAACCTTATTTATCTGGCTTCGTCAGAGTTTTGTCGGCACTATACTGCTAAAACCAATCCCATAACTCTAACCGTTTTCTTGATTAAGCCGCTCGCAAATTACAGGCGCACACACACAGACACAAATTATGAGATAATTATTTAAGATTGTTTTACAGTGTAACTTAGTATTTAAATACTTGTTTAACTTATTGAACAACTTCGTGTAGTACAGCATCTAAAGTAGTGTTTCATGGTATCAATTGTCAAATACAAATTTGTAGAATTTAGGATGTTCCATATACAGTGGGGAGCAGTTTCCCAATCTCGGGGGAGAGGACAAAGGATTGACAGTCCTTTTAGAGAGATGGAGATGGAAATGAACAGTTTCAGAAATGCTGCTGTGTCCAATTTCTTTGGTGAGCATGATCCTTTAACAGCATCTTTTGAGGATGAAATCGAGAATCTCATAGATAACTCAAGGAACCTCATGTCAATGTTGCCGGTTATACCTTCTGATCGAAATGTTACTAGGCGTGGCCAGGGTGCTCCTAGAAGATACCGGAGAAACAGAAATTCTGATGGAAACGTTTTTGAATTATCTGAGCCTGGTATTGTCCATCCCCGACAAGAGGAGTTCAACTCTAATACCAGACGCCGTGGTAATACTCTCCGCAACTTTCTTGATCGCAACAATCATGTGTTTCCAGCTCCTCAATCTGACAGACGAGTGTGGTATGATCCAAATGAACCAACTCCAGAAAACAGAATACCTCACATACCTCCACGTGTGTTGACTCTAGCCCAGATCAATCGTATACCAACCAAGAAAGTTACCAAAGCTGGCGGAAGCTGTGACATATGCTTAGATGATTTCCAGAAGGGAGAAACTACTAAAGTTCTGAACTGCAAACATGATTACCATTCTAAATGCGTTGATCCTTGGTTGAAGCAACACACGACATGCCCAAAATGTCGAAGACAGGTTCGTGCTCCTCCTGACAATAAAAACCGTCCTCCTCGACCAGTTCCTCCTCCCTGTCCTGCTAGGGAACGCGCAAGAGCTTATGATAGAGAGCGCCGTGGCAGAGTTGGAATAATTGAAGCAACCCAGCAACAAAACATTGAAACAGCAGCAAATGAAGTTGAAACTGCTCAAAATAGAGCAGAAGTGCAAACTGTGGTTGATTTGCCTTCAGTTGAAAATCCTTCGCCTAGAGTCTCTCCCAGAGCAGCCACTAGACTCACTACAGAGTTTCCTGTGGTAGAAAGTGTACCCGCTCCACCAGAGCAGAATGCAGACACAACCACTGCACAAGTCACTGATGGGAATGATCTAACATCCTCTGAACCGAGGGAATAGTGGGTTCAAAAATGAAGTCAGATCAAATAAGGAAAGTTTGCAATTGTTTTCTGGTTGTTTTCTGGTTGTTTACCATTCCATAGTGACATTGACACTATACGCTGCGCTAGTTATAGTGCAGTGTACCATATTCAGAATAACAGCACAACTGCTTGTTTGTATAATCATGTATTAAGTTATTAGTAGTAAACAATATTTTAATTTTGATCAGATATAATGGGTTTATTGGGTACCTTCGACCAGATGAGAACTTCATGCAGTGACTAATCGTGTTAACCTTAGTTAAATGCTTGTAGACATATTATGTAAAATGTAGATACTTGTACATGTTTTTAGAAATTTTGGTTTTTACTAAATTAACCAAAGGCAAAGACTAATTGTTTTTCAATATTTAGCATTTGAATAGACACTGCCTTTCATAACTGTCCTAAGAGATGTAGGTAAATGTGTTTTGTGTTCTGTGAACATAATTTTAAAATTTATTGCCTTCCCTTGGCCTTGTAAACATGTTGGTTTTTTGTTGTTGCAAAAAATGCTAATTTTTATATTATTCCTTGATGCAGATCACACTGTTAATTTAAGAGTTTATTATGTACAAAGATGTTAATATTATACCAATGCTTATAATTACTGCTGTGTTACGACCTACACATTCCTATCTATCTCGATTGCTGTATGCCAATCAAAGTTTTCTTTTCTTGAACACACTACACACACCACCTGATTTCAAGATTTTAAATTTGTTCCTGCCAATATTTCATGGTTTTCAGATATCATTATATAATATAAATTTTCTGACTGTTAACTGAAATTTAAAATTGCCGAAGTAAAAAGCTAAAAAACTGAATCAATAAAGATATTTCTCCTGTTATGTTTTTAAATAATAATTACTATTAATGTATTTTCATCATATAAATTATACTATTTACTAACATGATTATACTCTATTAGCTGAAGAGATGCACATGTTATAAATGTCCATCCCCACCCCTGATTTCTTGCTTTGCCCTATCTGTCGAACGCGATTCAATGGTACAACCAAAAAGCCAATATCGCTACTTTGCGGACACACTTGCTGTAGCTCATGTCTACAGCTAATGCACCGAAAGCAGTGCCCCCTTGATGCCACGCCGTTTCAACAGGTGACCACACATTGCACAGTAATATGTACAGCAACACTGTTAGCAGAGAACCTAACCTGGATTTCAGAATGTTTTAATCTTAAAAACTAAATTTAAAGAAGAAACCACACGTTTTACTGTACTTACTAATTATTAATTATTTTTAATTATTGATTTTTAATTATTTTCAGGAAGATATAGATTCTTTCCCAACAAACCAGGCGCTTCTTCTGCTTGTAACTGAAAACAAAACAGAAGAAAATACTACCAAAGCACTCCAAAATGGAGATGATAGTAAAAATGACGAGGTATGTCAACCCTGCTTTATTTTTAGCGATGATTATCATTTGACATACTATTGAATATTATATATTAAACATTAATATTATGACCTATTTGCCAGATTTATGAAACTTTATGAAGTCCCTTAAGCCAGGCTGTTATATGATAGTCAACTCACGAAACTCCAAATTTGTTGACATGAATTTGTTTAATAATATTGATGACTTCATAATTTTACATAAAAAATTGGTCTTATTTTAATGTTCGTTCAATTTCAGAAAGTCGTAGGAACGTGTATAGGCGAGCTAGCCCTCTATTTGAAGCCTTTGTCTTCTGGAAACCAGAAGACAGGTAACAGTATCACACTATCACGGCCCATGCAACGTAAGCTTGTCGCCCTGGTACACTGCCAGCTGGCGGAACCAGTAGGACGAGCACGAGCCCTTCGTGCTGCTCGCAGTCTTGGTATGTTTACTGAAATAGTAATAGATTATTGGTATTTTAAATTTTTAGCGGCCAGGTAGCGCAGTTGGTTAGAACGCCTGTCTTACAATCGTTAGGTTGCGAGTTCGAAACCCACTGACTGCCTGGTCGTGGGGTGAGCGTCGTCGACGTTCAGCTAAGGATCATGAGTGGTCTATGCAGCCCCCCGGTCTACTCAGCCGAATACTCGAGAAATCGGGTGTGAGGGTTAAATGAGGAGCTGCACATTGCAGCAAAGTCTCGGACGAAGAAAGTATGGTACACACTACCTTAACCGTCACTGGCCAAAAAGATCCTTCGGCTTCCTGTAATTGGCTGGTTGCACTTGTGTAACATTGTGGCTGTTGGAATACACCGAAGTAAAATAAGTGTCTAGATAAAAAAAAAAAAAATACTAAAACTTGGACACGTGACAGCTCTACTGGGATTTGATTGGTCGACGCTGCAAGCTCACTGGTTAATTGCGGTCACCTGCCAAAAACAGACTTACCCACCTTCCTTTAGATCATTGCCCATGTCTGTCGTCTATTTTCCTAGACATTCTGTTACCTTTTTTGTTGGCGTACTGATTTATAACTCCTGTTTCTATTACGTGTCACTCTCCATTTGCATTGTGTATACTGACCCTTTACTCTGCAGGTGAGCGCACGTGTACGGAACTTATACTCCAGCACCAGAACCAACAACAGCTTAGCAGTATGCTGTGGGCGGCGGTGCGGACGCGCGGCTGCCAGTTCTTAGGGCCAGCCATGCAGGAAGCCGCCCTCAAATACATCCTGCTTTCTCTGGAACAGGGCGAGGTACGCATTAACATTATTATTGAGTAATACTTCAATTAAACAACTCATTTTTCTTGGATCTGTCTTGAGTCTAATTTCCATAATCTTTCCTTATCAAATTATTTGATCAATAAGAATTAAATCTGTTATAGATACAGCACTGTACTAATAGTATACTGTACTATAACTATGAGCGCTAATATGGGATACGGATTATATAACACATATTTTTACATTAGTGTTAACATATATTTATTTATTTACAGGCGTTGTCCAGGAAAGTGCTGGTTCTGTACGTGGTCCAGCAGCTGGAGCCGCACTTCCCTCAAGCCAGCAAGACCAGCATAGGACACGTGGTACAGCTACTATACCGTGCCAGTTGCTTCAAGGTAACCTCCATCCTCCTGTCATTATTGTTCTTTGCTCTTGTAACATGTATGACTAGTTAAACAAGAAACGTCAAATTGTATCTGAAACCCAGATTCATTTTCATTATCATAAGAGTTGTCCCAAGCGTTGAAGCCCGCCAGAAATTTGTTTGTAAAGATGGGGACTCCCCATCTTCGGATTCAAGGTTCCGGTTTCTCGCTTTCTAGGATTCAAGGTTCCGGTTTCTCGCTTTCTAGGATTCAAGGTTCCGGTTTCTCGCTTTCTAGGATTCAAGGTTCCGGTTTCTCGCTTTCTAGGATTCAAGGTTCCGGTTTCTCGCTTTCTAGGATTCAAGGTTCCGGTTTCTCGCTTTCTAGGATTCAAGGTTCCGGTTTCTCGCTTTCTAGGATTCAAGGTTCCGGTTTCTCGCTTTCTAGGATTCAAGGTTCCGGTTTCTCGCTTTCTAGGATTCAAGGTTCCGGTTTCTCGCTTTCTAGGATTCAAGGTTCCGGTTTCTCGCTTTCTAGGATTCAAGGTTCCGGTTTCTCGCTTTCTAGGATTCAAGGTTCCGGTTTCTCGCTTTCTAGGATTCAAGGTTCCGGTTTCTCGCTTTCTAGGATTCAAGGTTCCGGTTTCTCGCTTTCTAGGATTCAAGGTTCCGGTTTCTCGCTTTCTAGGATTCAATGTTCCGGTTTCTCGCTTTCTAGGATTCAATGTTCCGGTTTCTCGCATATGATTTTTTACCCTCGGAATTATGCTCAGCTCTTGAATTTTCATAGTTGTTATTTAGAACAGTTTGTTAAAAATTAAAGTACTTAATAATAATATTACTAGAAGTAATTAAAATAGCACACACCTAAATTCTAATAATAGTTTAGTACATTTTTAATGCAGATAGAATTATAACAACATACATTGCATTTATGATATATAATAACACAAAGAATATCTCGCAATGTCCGCCCAATATATGCTGCAATTAGCTGGTATTGAACAAACGCCCGACTTGTGTACCAGGTACCTACAAACCACATGTTTAATACAGTTGTTCTAATACAGTATACACCAGCTCTACGCTTTATAATACCCAATGTGTACAACATACTCCGCAATCCCAGCGCTGCTTTAATAGCTCTGTACTATAAACTTTCCGGCCGCCGCACACCAATGATATTTCTGGAGAATCAGTGATATTAGACCGATATAATGATATAAATATAGCTGCTATATTGCCGGAAATAACAGGTGTAACGTAGCCGTGGTGGGCTGGTGGGTGTGATTGTACCATCACACTTCTTAACAGCCGCTAATGGTTGTTTGGCTATGATGGAGGGAAGACTGGCGCCATCATAATATCATATCCAAGAATATACTTGTACAACATGGGGACACGTTCCGTTAATATTCAATCCTGGGATAACATGGTGCCTTTTTAAGGATATGCGCATAATTATATCCCTGATATTGTCTAATATATCCGCATGTGTCTGAAGGGAGATGTTACATTTTCGTCATCTGCAGACAGTTTTTGAAACATTTCGTAATGAGCGTCTAGCCCATTTCTTGTGGCACTCAAAGCTTCACCTTAACTGTAACTTTTAAAAGTTGTAACTGTCTGCAAGTTGCACTGAAGCTGCACATTCTAGACATGGTGGGCCCTGATAAAAAGTGTAGGTATGAATGAGACCGGGGCTGCCATTTCCCTTGGGTTCATCAGAAGCCGCCGGAATCACTATTATTCTACGGGATGGAAACTTCAGTCTATTATCACATTGCCGTGAAGCCATCTGTCTAATTGATTTAGAATAATCTGTTTCTTAGAACGGCTCCCCTGCCATATACTTCGAACCACGGCCTAGGACCTAGGTATACGGGGAAAATATCGAAGTACCACTTAGAAACAATTTAACAGTATGATCACAGTCACAGATTCAGAGAATTTTAAATTCATCGAATTACGGTCAATTACTGATTAGGTGCAGTGTGTGGTAACTACTTTGTCTCAAAAGTTTTCTTGTGAATGTTACACTGTATAACTATATTAATCATTATCACTGCACCTTGGATTACTTGAACTTGTGATTGATTCTTACTGGATCTCTACCTCCTTTTGCTGACCGTTCAGTGTAGATTTGAGGTACAATAGTGGCAACAAAGTATGGTAAAAAAGACCCGGCTGAAAAAGAATCAACTAAGAAAAGTACAAGAAGTATTTAAGCCAATTCCATTACAACTGGATTGGAGAATCATTAACTAAACATCCATTTTATAAGATAAGTTCCTACCCCGAAATCTTACTCTAGCACAATCAAACATGTGAAAATTCTTCGTATTTTCCTTCAAGCACTGTTTAATACGAAACAAGCTAAGAATCTAAAAACATCACACCACCAGGTTGCCAAGAGGAATGATGAAAGTTCCCTGATGCAACTAAAGGAGGAGTACAGGACATATGAAGCACTGCGACGGGAGCACGACGCGCAGATCGTTAACATGGCCCAGGAAGCGGGGATCAGGATCCCGCCCGATCAGTGGAGCCAGCTATTATACGGAGATACAGCCCACAAGTCGCATATGCAGAGTATCATTGATAGGGTAGGTCCTTTGGAGGGTTGTTTAAATGATTTTAACTAAGTAGTTATCCTTGTAAAATAACAAGCAGACTGCAGAGTTTTGTAATGTCGTATTTTCTGGAAGATTGCTGCTTTACGTTTCTGTGTCACACGTTTATCGCATGTTACGTTCGTCATCACATTCTTAAAATTTGCATTTTAAAAACGCTGATTGTTTAACAATAGCAGTTAATAATGTTTCCATTCTTATCATTAGTTATGATTTATGACGTATCTATATAATTCATCACAACTAAACATCGCAACATTTCAGTTGCAGACGCCAGCTTCGTTTACACAGAGTATACAGGAGCTGATGATAGCACTCTCCCGAACAGAGGACACGCACAACTTGTCAGGACTGTCTAACGATTTCAATACTCTAGCAGCGATCAACCCAGCTACAGGTTTGTTTCAACTCTTAAACACGCGATTATTATCTGGCGCCTAGCCACCTACTTTGTTACGTACTAACAAAGCTTCTTCTCCTGCTCTGTACGTCAGACAGTCACGAATTTATCTTTGTAGAGAGTTCCCTCGTTGATAATGTGAGAATGACAAACACTTATTCTTACATTCCGCTTTGCATTGTAAAGTCTGTTGTTGAGCACATTCCACCAGAGTATACATTAACACGGACATGTGCTCAGATTGATAACTCCGTGTCCGTGACTCTGTCCGTGACTCTGTCCGTGACTCTGTCCGTGACTCTGTCCGTGACTCTGTCCGTGACTCTGTCCGTGACTCTGTCCGTGACTCTGTCCGTGACTCTGTCCGTGACTCTGTCCGTGACTCTGTCCGTGACTCTGTCCGTGACTCTGTCCGTGACTCTGTCCGTGACTCTGTCCGTGACTCTGTCCGTGACTCTGTCCGTGACTCTGTCCGTGACTCTGTCCGTGACTCTGTCCGTGACTCTGTCCGTGACTCTGTCCGTGACTCTGTCCGTGACTCTGTCCGTGACTCTGTCCGTGACTCTGTCCGTGACTCTGTCCGTGACTCTGTCCGTGACTCTGTCCGTGACTCTGTCCGTGACTCTGTCCGTGACTCTGTCCGTGACTCTGTCCGTGACTCTGTCCGTGACTCTGTCCGTGACTCTGTCCGTGACTCTGTCCGTGACTCTGTCCGTGACTCTGTCCGTGACTCTGTCCGTGACTCTGTCCGTGACTCTGTCCGTGACTCTGTCCGTGACTCTGTCCGTGACTCTGTCCGTGACTCTGTCCGTGACTCTGTCCGTGACTCTGTCCGTGACTCTGTCCGTGACTCTGTCCGTGACTCTGTCCGTGACTCTGTCCGTGACTCTGTCCGTGACTCTGTCCGTGACTCTGTCCGTGACTCTGTCCGTGACTCTGTCCGTGACTCTGTCCGTGACTCTGTCCGTGACTCTGTCCGTGACTCTGTCCGTGACTCTGTCCGTGACTCTGTCCGTGACTCTGTCCGTGACTCTGTCCGTGACTCTGTCCGTGACTCTGTCCGTGACTCTGTCCGTGACTCTGTCCGTGACTCTGTCCGTGACTCTGTCCGTGACTCTGTCCGTGACTCTGTCCGTGACTCTGTCCGTGACTCTGTCCGTGACTCTGTCCGTGACTCTGTCCGTGACTCTGTCCGTGACTCTGTCCGTGACTCTGTCCGTGACTCTGTCCGTGACTCTGTCCGTGACTCTGTCCGTGACTCTGTCCGTGACTCTGTCCGTGACTCTGTCCGTGACTCTGTCCGTGACTCTGTCCGTGACTCTGTCCGTGACTCTGTCCGTGACTCTGTCCGTGACTCTGTCCGTGACTCTGTCCGTGACTCTGTCCGTGACTCTGTCCGTGACTCTGTCCGTGACTCTGTCCGTGACTCTGTCCGTGACTCTGTCCGTGACTCTGTCCGTGACTCTGTCCGTGACTCTGTCCGTGACTCTGTCCGTGACTCTGTCCGTGACTCTGTCCGTGACTCTGTCCGTGACTCTGTCCGTGACTCTGTCCGTGACTCTGTCCGTGACTCTGTCCGTGACTCTGTCCGTGACTCTGTCCGTGACTCTGTCCGTGACTCTGTCCGTGACTCTGTCCGTGACTCTGTCCGTGACTCTGTCCGTGACTCTGTCCGTGACTCTGTCCGTGACTCTGTCCGTGACTCTGTCCGTGACTCTGTCCGTGACTCTGTCCGTGACTCTGTCCGTGACTCTGTCCGTGACTCTGTCCGTGACTCTGTCCGTGACTCTGTCCGTGACTCTGTCCGTGACTCTGTCCGTGACTCTGTCCGTGACTCTGTCCGTGACTCTGTCCGTGACTCTGTCCGTGACTCTGTCCGTGACTCTGTCCGTGACTCTGTCCGTGACTCTGTCCGTGACTCTGTCCGTGACTCTGTCCGTGACTCTGTCCGTGACTCTGTCCGTGACTCTGTCCGTGACTCTGTCCGTGACTCTGTCCGTGACTCTGTCCGTGACTCTGTCCGTGACTCTGTCCGTGACTCTGTCCGTGACTCTGTCCGTGACTCTGTCCGTGACTCTGTCCGTGACTCTGTCCGTGACTCTGTCCGTGACTCTGTCCGTGACTCTGTCCGTGACTCTGTCCGTGACTCTGTCCGTGACTCTGTCCGTGACTCTGTCCGTGACTCTGTCCGTGACTCTGTCCGTGACTCTGTCCGTGACTCTGTCCGTGACTCTGTCCGTGACTCTGTCCGTGACTCTGTCCGTGACTCTGTCCGTGACTCTGTCCGTGACTCTGTCCGTGACTCTGTCCGTGACTCTGTCCGTGACTCTGTCCGTGACTCTGTCCGTGACTCTGTCCGTGACTCTGTCCGTGACTCTGTCCGTGACTCTGTCCGTGACTCTGTCCGTGACTCTGTCCGTGACTCTGTCCGTGACTCTGTCCGTGACTCTGTCCGTGACTCTGTCCGTGACTCTGTATTAATTGTAACATGTGATTGTGTGAATGATGTTCCCGCGCGAAATCGTGTGCATTGGATGAGTTCCCCCAACTCTATTATAAGTAACTTTCCCAATCTGTAAACAAACACTGTAAACATTGAATAGAATATTGTAAAACGGTAAATATTGCTGTAAACGTTCCGTATTTAAAAGACTCACATAATGCTACAGGAGTCGGGAATAAATCAGATTGCAAATATCTTGAAATATATGTTTGTAATTAATTGGTGGATTGATTAATTAACTACAGCTAACAGCATAAACATCCAGCTTCAGCTTTCTGTTACTAATGTTTAAATACGTTGTGTTTGCATGATTCCTGTCATCCTCAAGTTATAAGTTCCTTAGAACACGCCTTAAGAGATCATTTAATTGATAATTACCTAGACCTTATTAAATTCCCGTCCATTTAAGTGATCAGGAGTATCAACTTACTCCCTAAAATTAATGATATTTGATATAACTCCACTGAAATCTAATCACCACCCCGGAAATGGGTATTATTTTCTCACGGTCCTCCACAATTTTTACCGCCTTATCTCCCAAAGAAATGTGTTCTGTTTATTATAAAGTAAGAGCAGTGAAAGTGCAGATAAAGTTCAGATGACGCGACGTAGAGCTGATCACGTGGTTTCCACACCACTTGATGCGGAGCAGTGCCCGCAATGATTTCACAACAGTAAATGTTTCAAATAGCTTTCATACGTCACCTTTTATAAGAGTTAAATGTGAGCACACCCTCACAGCAAGGGAGGAGGGGGATTATTGTACTGGAGTGTGTGTGTGTTAACACTGATAAGAGAACCTGCTCCCCTTGTAATTGTAGTACATGTGTGTGTAAGATGCTGAATGCGGGCGTGTTGAACTGACACCGTCAGAGGTTTGAGAAGTTTCTAGAATTTCCCGGTTGATGATCTCATACGAGCAAGGTAGTTGGTACGTTAGCTACGTGTGGGTCACGTGACATCCCTCTTGTAGTGTACGTCTCCCTGGTACAACTCTGTACGCTGCAAATCATTTTTAGATTTTCTTGTAAAGCCTAATTTGTAGTCTAATATGCTGCGAATCTCAATCGTTTCAAATTTACACTTGGGCAAGAAGATAGGGTGAAGATAGTGTGATTTTATTCCTATACAGTTATGAACAAAAAATATTTATCTGTTCACATGGTCTTAAGATATTTTCATACTCAAAATATTAAAATTTCTATGCATAATTAATGAAAGTATTATGACGTATAAGTACTATAATCGTTTTGTTAAGGATTTATGTCAACACTGTTCAAATTCATGTACTGTTTCTCCTTCTTTCTTCCTTTCCGACGAATAGTTGGATCACGTTTATCTGATAAAACTACTGTAGGTTTCTATTGTCGGCCCATTGATTAACAATTATATCATGAAATTAAATAATGACCTTAAATATTATATATATATTCGATTAGGATTTACTCAGCACCGCCCATTTGCCTGTTTACAAAACACTATACCAGAATATGTCAACCAGTCATCACATGTAGTAAAAAACAGCCTTTCGGGCTGAAAATTCACGTACCAATCATGAAAATGACCGCAATTAAGATCTCAGCGTCAACAATGTGTGTATTTTTAACCGGGAATAAACTTGGAATGAACATGAACATTCGGAATCGAAATGTGATTTGGTAAACAAGGGCGCATCTAATTGTTATTTATTATCTTACTTTTTATTTATTATCTTACAGTATTTTTGGTGATTCAGTAGTCATGAACGCAGGACTTTAAGATCAATCTACAATTTATAAATTTGAATTTTGATTAGAAAAGGGACTATTAAGCTATATTTATCTGCACCGCTTTGTTGGCTAGTATCAACCCCATTTTTTGGACTTTGGTCGCTTATACGGCCTAAGCGGTATACAAATAAAGCGTTATTATTATTATTATTTACAATGTTATTTAAAATTAAATATAAGGTATAAACTGGGGATAGTAAAAATAACGCCCAAGTCCAACATTTTCCTGGGAATAAAAAATCAAGTTCAAAACATCACTGTAATTGCTGCCAGTATCTCTCATAAGCTAAATTAAGGAGATAAAACATATCTTATATTCAGGATATTGTAATTGTTGTGTTGTAAATTAAGGAGATAAAACATATCTAATATTCAGGATATTGTAATTGTTGTGTTGTAAATTAAGGAGATAAAACATATCTAATATTCAGGATATTGTAATTGTTGTGTTGTAAATTAAGGAGATAAAACATATGTAATATTCAGGATATTGTAATTGTTGTGTTGTAAATTAGGGAGATAAAACATATCTAATATTCGGGATATTGTAATTGTTGTGTTGTCTGGGAATGAATGGTCGTTATTGTTATCTTATCAGAACTCATGCTGGAAAGGAACATTTTTGGGTACTACGGAATTAAATTTGTAGTTTAGTTCCGAAACTTAGATTAAGTTCTCGAAGGGTTGACACCGGAGATTTCTTAGAAACGCACTGCAAGTTCCTTTTGCCTTGTTCCAGCCCTCGGGGGCAATTTGAAACATGGTCCATGTGTCTCATCAGTTAAAGTACCAACCACAACCACTTACCCCTGAGCTATTGCTGTATTGCATAATATGATAATTACCTACATACTTATTATAAGTGATAACCTTACATGTTGTACTAGTATAATGATAAATTGCTTTACAATTGCCAATATAATGAGACACCACCATGATCTGATCATGGCAGGAATATAGAGAAATATTGATAGAAATGTCGAAATATCACCACTAGTGGTGCTATTTCGACATTTCTATCAATATTTCTCCACTATAATAAAGTCCATTTCCCTGGGACAGGACGTAACTATGTAACATTTCCTTCATCCTCGCACAAGCGTGACTTATACAGGGTGTAAGCTTCACGGTTATTTAAAAACCAATTAATCGCATAGAAACCACAGCCCCCACCCGGTTAGTAACTCTAAAATGAATAAAAGATATTTTTTATAAAACGTAAATAGTATTATATACAATAAATGCAGCTCAATACCGTTGAATTCAGAGAAAAATATGCAGTTCGGAGAATACAAAGGCGAGTCTTAAGTAAATAAGAGCTCGTCAATCCTCTTTCGCAACAATGAAAAGTTCCCTAATATAGCTCTGATGAAATGATAAGGGTTAAAACTATCATAGCTGGAATATGTGAGTTAATTTTGTTGCCACTATCATAAAGTAACGAATATCACATACACAAAACACACTGCACATCATAGCTTAATCACAACTTACAGATACCAGCTACACAACAAGTAGTGATAAGCTGAACACACACAGACACACAGACACACACACAGACACACACACAGACACACACACACACACACACACACACACACACACACACACACACACACACACACACACACACACACACACACACACACACACACACACACACACACACACACACACACACACACACACACACACACACACACACACACACACACACACACACACACACACACACACACACACACACACACACACACACACACACACACACACACACACACACACACACATACACAGTGCTGCACTTGAAATTAGCGGGAAACAGCGTCCAACTCACAAGCACTTGGTGTGTAATATTGGGTTAAGCGTGTACGTGTGCATCCTAGCAGTTCGTTATATAAATTGGTGCCCACGTGACCTTTGTTTACAAGGTCACGTGCCGCGCGGCGTTGTGCAAACACCTGCAATAATGTCTGGTACACACGGGTGTGCCATGTCGCCAGACAATTCGGCGCTTTGTGACTCGGTATAACTGGTGATCGGGCACTGCTTAATATCCCGGTTATCCAAAACCTTACAAGAAGTTAAACTCAAAGTGAACTAGCAGCTGTTTTAGATTAAATAGCTTTTCAAGACTTATTACGTAGTAAATACTAATTAATAATTAATAAGAACCAAATGATTTAAATCTGTAAATTAGTAACCAAGCCCTATTTTCAGAGGACAGTTCAGTGACATGGTCGCAGCTGAAAGTAGCGCTGATAGCGCTGAGGAACGTTGTGAAAGGACTAGAGAGGTTCCTGCAAGCTAAAGCTAAAGTTAAGGGACTCACCGAGCACACTGCCGGATGTCTTCATGATAACTGCAATGTAAGTACAGGAGCTGTTTTCCTCCTTGTTCTCCCTTTGTTATGTCTGGTTTAGTTAGTTTTAATGTGGAAGCGTTGTATAAATACTAGTTACTATACTTAAAGAATGCACCTTACTGGGGGCTGTATTTAGCTGAGTTTAGAGGAATTCCTTGTGTATTTGTGTATATATAATGTAATACACGACTATTTCTCTTCCATAGGTTATTTCAATTCGATTAATTTGTGTGATCTGAGCACTTATTTATATTGTATCATATATATTATAAAGGAGTACACGTTCTCACCTAATCGTGAACTTGTTTTCTTTGTGCGTCAGAGGAAAAACAAGGCGCCGGCTGCTACACCTGTTTTTTTCCACTCTCCGTGCAGTACATGTTTAATTGCTAAATGTTCTTCGTCCGCCACGCGAAATTTAATATCATTGGAATTCTCTGTACACAAGATCCCTAACCGATGAACAAAACAAGAAAAGAATGATCGGAATTCTTCCCAAGAACTGCGGTATTCGGCGCTTGTATATATTTGTGTGCCCTGCTGCGGCTGCGGAGTAGTTTACAATGGCCGGTCACCTGGCATCACATTGGTTTTTAGCGCCAATACCTCACTAAATATATGTTCTAGCTAACTACCTGACCGCATCAAATGGAAGAACCCTGCGCAATTGTGACGTAGGCCCACATAGTTGTTAGTACACAAACAAAGTACTGGACAATAATAACCACGCAGACCACGCCTTTCTCGGGAAATTCCCAACAAAAAAACAAAGGCTAAATGTGTAGGATATACTATTATGGTAGGTAGGTAGGTAGGATGTGTAGGATGTACTATTATGGAAGGTAGGTAGGATGTGTAGGATGTGGATTGGAGCTGCACAGCTGCATCCTCCCCTGATGCATTATATATAGCAGTTGTCTAATTGATATCTGGCTTCATGCCAAGACCCACCGTGTGAGCCCGGCTCAGATCTCTCCTGCGATGATCTAAGCTGTTTTCCGCTGTATGTACGACGTACGTGTGCGTGTGTTACCTGTTATACACGCCGCCGCACCATTCATTTAATAAATTAACTGATTTATAACACCAGCCATCACTAAGATGTGACTTTGTTATTTGCACATACATTTTAATAATCCACAGTTACTGCGGCCAGCTATCTTTCTAACTTTCACAAAATATTAAATTAACGAATATTAAATAATAGAGCTGCTACGTACTCTTACCGCGTGTAACATCGCACTATCCGTATGTGGTCTTTTGACGGGTGATGTAGGTGCCTTGTATGCCAAAGAGCGGTATTTTAAAAGACCTTTGTATTACTGAAACGTACCTTACATATATCATGCATAATGATATATTTGCCTGTTCATTATACTCGATATGGGATTGGCTGAGTTCCAATGAAAGTCTTTTTATAGTTGGTTAACCGTCGCGTGAGGCCGTTATAACTTTACAATAGATATAGTAATACTCGTCTGAGTTATGTAACTGTCCAACAAATCTATGCTAAAATCAGTCGTAATACGCTATACGCTATGGTAAATACAGATTATTATTCACCAAATCATTAATCTCCCTTTTTCAGGCGCACGGAAAATACAAAACAACAATGTGTAGAGACTTGCTCCTACCGCAGTCGTGTCCCCGAGGTGCGTCCTGTACCTTCGCTCACACTCAAGATGAGATGGAGAGGTACAGAAGCCAGAAGAAGAACATGAAGAACATGTCGGAAGCAGAACACAGTGCTACCTGCTCCATGAACAGCTCTCCGAGTGTTAGGTTTGTTGAGAATGTACGGTACTATCACTTCCGGTCCGAACTGATTTCAATATATGCGACCTGTGCAATATATTTGGAGGAGCTGTTTTTGATGTCTTGTAAACTAGGCAGCCTTAACGTGGGTCTGATAAACCCGCAGTATTATTTTATAGCATATGTTCAGTTTACTAAACCTACTTTAAATTCAGTTCGATGCAAGCAAGTTTGCCGCCTGCAGGATCTCCAGTCGTGTCTCAGCAGCAACCTATGTCACAACAACTAAAAGCTAGTCCACACCATGTTCCTCAGCCCCACGTACCACAGGTAAAATTCTTTCCCGGAATCCTTCCGTCGAATATTAAGTCATTTGCTTGTCACGTCTGTTTTGAGGACTAAACGCGCGCATTAAAGCACATAATTTTGGCATTTTATTTACGGATGATGCGATTAAAGCACTCTGTTGCTAGCATTTGGGGGCGCGCGCGTCTTGAAGATTGCGCGCTGAGATGTTTATAGTCTGAGAATTTGCGGCAAGAAGCTTCTCATTGGCCACATGGGCAATTACGTCATCGACTAAGAATAGCCATCACGGTTTTCTAGTAACCTCCTGTCGCGTGCACTACAATGGTATGTCACATACTCTATTAATTCAGGGAATGTTGCCACCGCCTCCGCCAGCCTATCCACCTCAGAATATGCCGGGTTTGCCCCCTACTAACGGTCACCACCTGCCAACGTCTCGACCGTGGAACGGCAATGTCCTGACGCCGGATCCACGCCTGGCAACGCCCCGACTTCCTGGTTATCAACAAATGGCCGGTCCACACCGCCAACTGGATCACGAAACTCTACAGTTGCTGCAACTGAAGCAGCAGCTTCTTCAGCAGGGTAAAAGAGAGCTTACTCACTTGTCATTGATAAGATTTTGAAGTGTATGTGTCCTATTAGTGTATTGAAAACAAATGTGATAAAACATCCATTGTAACAACCCTAACAGTACACTTAATCAGGTGTCCAAACTCCGTTACCACCACCGCCAGCTGCTCCTCTCCCATCCTCTCTACATAACCTTACTACCGAGCAGCTCCTGAGTCATGCTACCAACCAGTTCTCCTCTGTACCCACCTCACGATCTAACGGACTGACTGGAGACTACAACTTTGGAACAGTTCCAAATGTCACTAACATTGACACACTGAGTCAGAGGTTGCACATGAGTCAACAGCATGCCCCTCCTCCTCCGCCGCCTGTTTCCTCTGCTTCTCGTCAAGAGGCTCAAATACCTCTGTGGGATCAACCGGTTCGTTAGATTAATTTAATTGCCAATTCACCAACTTCGATCTTTGTCAGCCACTAACGTTTGAAGATATCAGCTCTTAGGTTTTATAGCTAATAGGTAACTATCTCTTTAAAAACTGATGACCGTTATTATCGAAACGTTTAACTTATATTCTTCAGAAGATCAACGGACTGACGAATGCTGCCTCTGCTACACCAGTAAGTGGAGCACAAGGTACCCCCAACCTGTGGGGAGGACAATATGACCCCTTAGTTAGCCAACTGAACGGCTACGATGAAGCACTCCTCAGACAAGAGCTGCTGAAACAGTACAGTCAACTGTCCCTGGCAAGCACTCCTGGTCTTACATCCAACCTACTGAACCAGTTGCAAGCGCAGCAACACGCTCAGCAGCAACACGCTGCAGCGTCACCATCACCCGCTCTACCGTCCTTCCCTAACTACGATGCTACCAACATTCTAGCCTCGAGACTCAATCAACTCCGACTGTCTCAACAACTTGGGAATCCAGCAACCAGTACTGGTTACCAGACTAATCCCACTGAGTCCCTGTCTAATGGCCTCAACGGATACGATCGCCTAATTCCTCAGGTGAGAACTATAACTTGGTCTAGCCTCAATGATTGATACAATAGCTACTTATTTTATATTAAGTTTAATAGTTGAGTCATCCTCTTTGTCGATTTAATCTGACCGTCTTTGCTTGTTAAAGGTGGTCGATTCTATTGAATAGATAGCGGGATTTCACTCGGTTGTACTGGTTATTATTATAATGTAGTTGTTTACTTTACAGTACCCTTCGTTAAACGGATCTCTTCAGGCGTCTACTCCAACTGTACAGCAAATCAAGTACGAACTTGCCAAGGCAGAGAAATACGAGCAGCTCCTAAACAGCGGGCTTTCAAACAGTGCTCTGCTCTCACAGCTTCACTCTAGTGGACTTACCAATGGTCTCTCCAATGGGCAACTTAATGGACTATCCAATGGGCAACTCAATGGACTCTCCAATGGGCAACTCAATGGACTTTCCAATGGGCAACTCAATGGACTTTCCAATGGGCAAATTAATGGACTTTCCAACGGGCAAATTAATGGACTTTCCAATGGACTCTCCAACGGGCAACTAAATGGACTCTCAAATGGACTTTCCAATGGGCTGTCTAACGGGCAACTAAATGGACTCTCCAATGGACTTTCTAACGGCCTTCATGGTGGTTTAAATAACGGGCTCTCCAATGACTTTGCTAAGAGTGCTAGCCAGATAAACCCAAGTAAGTTGAAAGTTTAAACTATTGGAAAGAATCGCATTTGCTTCACAAAAACACAACATAGTGCTCAAAACTCCAAACCTTCTAACAAACTAAGTGCACTGAACAGGGAGTTTAACAAATAACACTTTGCAGGTGCTACACCAATGGACCAGTACTCTAACGCAGCCACGCCCAGTATTTGGCAAAACGATAGTAGTTGGCACAGCTTTCTGAGCAGCAGACCGACAAGTGTGGCTTTGGGCAGCCACAGCAGCCATGGCAGCCTCCAGATGAATAGTGGTGGTCACAACAGCCATGCCGGTGGAGATGACATGAACGCTAGCATTCAGCAGGTTTCTGAATTTTATTTCTCTTAATATTCATTCAGGAACTAGTCAGAAAATTATGAAATGACGGCGTCCGGCGACTTTTCTTGCTGCTCTCAAGTGTTTCTGTTAGTCTTAAACTTGTAATTTTCTACCTGTTTCTCGCTTTCAGTTGCTGCAACACTATACCGACCGGAACTTGGCATTCCAGTTCCAGCTTGACGATGTTGAGTGAAACTATAAACTGTGTGGAGACCGGGGTGCACACCCTGGTGCACTCCAACCCCACTACAAACATGCAGACCCGTCCAGTGTGATCCGAACACACTGAATCTTCCGTACTTCTGTGCCGTGCAACAGCACTAATACATTCTATCTGTTTGGTGTGAATTGCTCCCACGGGGAGCATATTTTGAATACCTGTTATTGTCTCTGCGAAATAATAATGTACTTTACTGATATAAGGATATAGTTATTCGCCATATAATAATACATTCATATATATTGATTAACAATATTCTTCTCAGATGAAAGGAGGAGAAGCTCATTTTCTTTATGTTGTAAAGAAACATAATTACCCATTTGTTCCTTCGTGTTTTAGTGTACTTAAGTTCGGTTTAATACTGCAAAATGTGGGTGCTCTGTCCAGTGCCGCTGCCATGGAAGGTGATCTTATTGTAGCACCTATATTGGGTGATGCAAGTGTTGCCTTGTTGGTGGTTGTGGTGCTTTTCAGGGTCCCACAGCCTTGTGTCGGGCTTGTCGCGTTAGTTTCAGTGACAAACTCGAGCTCACGGTTTTTTGTTCGAAAGTATACCGATATTGAGATTTAATAGTATTTTGTAGTTATAGTTTGCTGAAATCCTACCTTAGAGATTTGTTTGTTGCCAATAGTTTTTCGTCCAAAGTAAATTGTTTCGATGTGGTGCTGTGCACATGATATTTTAAACATATCTTTCTTAATAATGAATTCTTAGCTGAAATAATTGGCAACAAATTCTCTCTATAGATCATTGGTGAAATTCAACATATATCATGTCAGGTTTCTGAAAATTTGGTTTCTTGTTTGAAAGAAAAACTTGCTAGTTTGTGCCGTGTAATGGTGAATCAACGCTTACCATGATTCCGTGGCTATGAATTTTAAATCTTTAGTTATTTTAATAGGTTGGCGTACCTTACCTCTTCATATTTCTGTATGTTATGTGAAAAATCGTAAGGGCCAATTTTTTCTTGTCAAATTTTAATATATTACTGCGTAAAAAACGTTTAAAGTATACCTATTTATAAAGCGATCTCTTTGGCGTGAAGAGTGCCACGACATGTTAATGTAACGGAGGCACCACGTGCAGATTGCGCGCAGTACAATCTCTGGTATCGTGCGCTTCGCAGCGACCCAGTGTACAATTAGACGTGATCAGTTTAAAGATATTTAGAATGGTAATTGTGGGAGCAGTGCAACCGAGAAAATAATTTATGAAATCTCCGCAAGCGAGATGTGACCCCGCTTCAAAAACTCAGTTCCCAGTTGCACTGCTACCGCGTTAAGACTGTAATAGCAAATGCAATGTTGCTATTGTTGATAATTAGCAATAATTTGCTATGCTATATTATTCTCTACCTTGTGTATATGTTAAACCTGATTTGGAGTTTAGTGGACCCACGGATGGTTTATTTTTGCACTCTTTCCGAGTGTGTAACCGAAAAATTGTTTGGTGTATGCTAGTTAATTTTACTCGCGCCTCACACCGCGTGTCAATATTATGTGTTTGTTTTTTTCTTTTTTCTTATTTATGCAAAAGGACCAGTAGTCATAAATGATGATGTTTGCCGTTTATAAGATAGTTTATTATTACGCATACCCGATAGTAATATTTTACACTAGTTATATTTTGGTAGTGTGAGAAAGTGTGATCGTTTTTGTTGCCATAGTAACGCTCCTCTTTTGGGAATCCTGTCACGAAAGTCCCAAGCACAGATTGTTGCTTTGTATACTTTTGTGGAAAAGTTGTAGAATTTGATATTTTTGGGGTTCTTTTAAAAGAAAAGTGCAAAAGTTTTGATTTTGCCATTAGAATGCTCTGCTCTTGCAATTTCTTTACTTTATCCTGTGCCCTGTCCCTCGTGGCAGGGTACGGTAGATAACTAGATTATTAAGGTCTTTGAACATTTTTCATGGCACATTACATTTGTCAATTTCACAATACTTACTATCCAAAAGACCAGTTTCGTAACTGACGCAGAAATAGCAGAGCAGAGTAAATATTTTATATTATGGGGACTTTCTCCTTTTCGCCTTTCGAGCATTTTTTGTGCCGAATTATATTTTCTAACCTAACATAAGTTAGCCTAACAGAATAGAATGTATACAGAAGCTACCATGCGCTTAATTTTCATTTCCGCTTTCTCATCAGTTTATAGGAGACAAAATGATTATCTTACCGGTGAAAATTATAAAGTACGATCTTCAGACAAGGTGCCATCCATGATTATTTCAAGCTAGTTAAATCTCCGATGGATCATTCCATAATATTCGAGTTGACACCTTCTCAGGCAGAGTTTCGACTGACATAGATGGTTCCTTGTCCGTTTAATTCTATTGGTCGAATTTTGCTGTTGAATAATAATCCAGTACATCATACATATATAATATATATATATACATATATATTTTAATAGGTACGTATCGCCCGAGCTTAAAGCTTCCGGGCAGATTCTGAGAATACTGCGCGATGCTTGCCACAGAGGCGCCTCCCTCACAGACTCCCCTCGAACATACAACTAACACTTTCTGGTTAGATTCCTTGCCTTTATGGTGCACTCTGTGGCAAGACTTAATTACTTGACTTTGTGGTGTGTTTCATGTCCATATTTGGCCAAATTGTAACAAGAACTTTGCTGTATAACCGAGAATACTATTGCGATTCAGTAACTAGACTGGTTGGTTGGACCGACAAACAATACTAAGATACATTATTAGCTTTGATTTGCATGTGTGGACTACAATTTAAAAACATTTTGCCACAATCACTGGCACTATATAGGTAATAAAGAGAAAAGTGAACGAATGTATTATCTCAATGTAGAAACTCCAAGCTAGACAGTATGACCTGTCTCATTATTCCTGATTACTGATTAACATTTCGTTTGGCTGAACTAGTCTTGTAAGAGGAGTGAGGGTCCCGCAAAGTTACATGTTTCCGATGCACTTGCGAGTTCCTTGCCGCCTGCCAAGTCAGACGTTTTGTTACGTTTTTGGGAAGAATCTGTGTGGCAGGTGTACCTATAGTGAAAGTTATGTTATGTCTGTACATATATACAAACGTACACAGGCAGAATGATATATACCTGTGGGTTTTCTAGAATATTTTTGCATATTTCCGTATATCTCCAAGGTCGTGCAAAGCACGAGGCTTTCCTTGTTGGTGATCAATTTAATAGAATATACCTTAAAACCAAAATTCTGGCTAAAATTACGGTAAACTGAATTGATAGTTTGCCAATTGAATCATCTACTAAAATGTCGTTCAGCATGAATACGTTCGAATTTGCTTCCTATATCATCCGCAACTGCTTTTCAGATTAGGAAAATCGCCTTTCATCTATTTTTACACATTTTCATCTTTTATAAACGTTAAATTTCAAAATTGTTGACCAAAATGTTGGTAGTACTACCAAATTCACTTTTTGACGAACCAAATTTTGGCACTTTTAAGGTATAAAATAATTTATCCAGTCTAATTCAAAACAGGCATTCGTTCAATAAACTGATGAGACACTTTCTGAAGCACAGTGTATATCTAGGTGTGAAAGTAATATGTACGAGGGGTTGTGCTCCAGAGAAATAATTATTAGAATTACCGCCTATCAATAAGGGCAACCCCCGTTTTACGGGCGAGTCAGGCTCTCTTATTATTAAACTAAGGTATTTTGTAACTAATTTTTCTTGATTAGTATATCTTACAACTGTTGAATTTTCTGTACTCGCTGCTTGAGTCACTTTGTTCGACGTTAGAGTAATGTTAATACCCCTACATTAGAACACCACGCTATTTCGATTGAGAGTGGATCATCCTGAAAGGACTGCTGGATATAAAATAAACCACGAAATTTAATATTAGCGGATCTGATAGGTTAGCAAGCTGAGGTCTTAGCTTACTGACTTATACTGTACGTGTTAAATGACTATTCATCCTACTCTACGTACTTTGATATTGGATAGATGTGGATAGACATTTTTCTGCGCTTGATCATGCAATTTTGTTCCTAAATTTGGCAAGTTCCGAGGGATGGTCCTCATCTTTCTGGCTGGGTTATTAACATTATTCTGGTATTATTTTCATGTATGAACACAGGCTTGTGTGATCGGTAGAAACAGTAGCTTTGCTTTAACATTTCTGAATCTAGAATGTCTTTTTTGAAAAAGATTAATATGTATTCTCAATGTTGATCCGTGGCAGCTTCTAAAATTTTTGGAATTTTTATAGATACTATATACCTCATTATAAATTTATAACAGAGCAATCAGCCATTGTTGCTTCATAACATTTTGTTCGATATTTTGATGTAATCGTAGCCGTCAAATAATTTTGTCAGTTTGACCAAAGCTAACAGTTCTGAGTTTAAAAACTTGTGTTTATTTTTGATATCTATATATTTCGATTCTACCTCATGTTTTCTGAACTATTAACTAAAATGAATAACGACAAGGTGGTGATTTTAAACAAAATTGAAGAGAACGCTTACACTTGATGAATTTATCCTTGAACGACAGTTTCCTTTAAAGTTTTATTCTCTTCAATTTTGTTTCCTGTTTCCCAGAACGAGCTCTGATCAGTTGGTTTCAATTTTGGCAAATTCCCATTCTGCCACTTAGTTGCTACTAAGTCACACAACGTGGCGTTCATCCTTATCTTTGAGCCCATACACAAGTAATGTGGCAATCTTCTTGACCATAACTAGAATTAGAACCCCCTCGAGTTGAAGTTTGAATCTGGCCACAATAAAATTTGCAACCACTGACCTCAGCTCGCTGATGTTAGGACAACTGTGCTAACAGGAACCTTATTATAGAGTCCTGCAGTTGTCCTAGCCTCATGAACACTGGTTTTACCACACCCATACAATTACACATGTTATGTCACCCTGTAATTACACAGTAGAGCTCTCTGTCGTTTTGAGATTGTGTTTATTCCCCGGCTTGTCTGTTTTTATATTTTACTAAGCTTAAAAAGTGCATTTTTTTGAGATAACTCAACTTCATATTTCTCTATTAGTATCGTCTCAATCGAATCATTGATTCTCAAAAAATAAACACAGTCTCAAATACCCCGGTCACCAGCACCGTGGATTTGTATTCTAGAATCTGTATTGGCGAGATATCGACAGATATCGTCGCCAACTCTGTCTGTGTAAAACTGCATAATTTAACATCACATTCACACTGGCAACAACAACAACAACAACATTTTCGAGGTCTGGTCGCAATCGCTAGTATAGTGTAAATGTTAAGCAATTATAATACCCTTGTTACTTTTCCCAAGGAAAGATGTGTAACTTTTGAAGGACTGAAGTTTGATTGCCCCGGTCATATACCATTATACGTAATATGATTTTAATAAGCTTTTTGAAACATTGCAAATAAAGTTGTTACATGGCTTGATTGTTTTGTTTAAAAAATGTGTGTTTCATTTTGTTTCTGATTAAAACTGAAAGTCAGAATAGTAAGAAACTCTGCTACTCTAAGTAGTATGGTGTTACCCCAAGTAAGTAAGTTCATTGCATTTGCACGCTTCAAACATTCCAAAGATGCAATTGTACCGCGTACCACGTGATACGATTCAGCCAATCAGAGAACAACAATCTGCAAAGTTATAGCTGCGCAGTTTTATAAGGCCTAAAATATGACTTTTCGCGATAATTAAAAATCTACGTTGTTTTTAAGTTTCCCCCTGGGGGGGGGAAACGTTATTTTTACAAGGCGAACATTTTGTTGAAAATCCGACGTTTTTATCTCTTTTACTTCCAAAGTTAGGCCCCTACCAGTAAGGTTTCCTGGGCCCAGTTGACGCGTAGCAGGGTATTTTGGTTCAAGACTTTAAATTAGAATCGCAAAATTAGCCGTATTATTCCTCCAAACTTACGACTTAGATGGACTGAGATTAGTCCTTAAAATACAGCTTACACTTTTTACCTTATGATTGGGTCGTTATTCTAAAAGAATTTGTCAAGAAGTGTGGCTCACCGGTCACTTAATGTCACGTTTTACGGGCGAGTCAGGCTCTCTTATTATTAAACTAAGGTATTTTGTAACTAATTCTTCTTGATTAGTATATCTTACAACTGTTGAATTTTCTGTACTCGCTGCTAGAGTCACTTTGTTAGACTAATGTTAATACCCCTTGAACACATTAGAACACCGCGCTATTTCGATTGAGAGTGGACCATCCTGAAAGGACTGTTGGATATAAAATAAACCACGAAATTTAATATTAGCGGATCTGATAGGTTAGCAAGCTGAGGTCTTAGCTTACTGACTTATACTGTACGTGTTAAATGACTATTCATCCTACTCTACGTACTTTGATAGTGGATAGAAATATTTCTGCGCTTGATCATGCAATTTTGTTCCTAAATTTGGCAAGTTCCGAGGGATGGTCCTTATCTTTCTGGCTGGGTTATTAACATTATTCTGGTATTTTTTTCATGTATG